TTGAGCCAGTCCACTCAGTCCACTGGTGGTTAGTCCATACAGTGTATGGACTTTTACTACAGTAATTTACAGTAATTATAGCCCAGCATAAGCAAAAAAACAAAAAAGAAAAAATGTTCGAACGGCCAACCCAGTATATTTTCATCACGGCCATGTTGGATCATTCTGCTCGTGCATTGAAAAAACGGGTTGGCTTGATTTATAGTTTGCTCTAGAAAGGAATGAGGGGGGAATCATCTGGCACATCTGGTGTGTCGTGTCTCACACATACTTAATTGAACTTGTCCTTTTTCCCTCCACGCTCCTGGTTGGGACCCTCAACAAAAACGCCGTTTGTGGCTGGAGTGATTCAGCAAAGGACAACCGAACCAAATGACCAAAGGCATTGCCTCTCGTTTATCAAAGTCGAGTCTATCATTCAGCACCTCCTGCTAAATCCACTGGCGTGAAGCCATTGACCTGTGTTGCCCATCTTGCAGATGGCTTGTTGCAGATCAGAACCGTCAGAATGGCTTCTCATCTCACTTGGCTTCTCGTATACGTACGTAGGAATGCTTCTGCAAGATCTGCCATGAGGAGGTTGAACAAGTGTCACGGGCATTCGCATCAACCGATCTGGATCCCACCAATGAGAGAAGCTTGGTCCTATTCACTCAGCCCCAAACATCAGCGAACGAAACTGGAATCCTCACACTTGTCCAACAACAACAACAACAACAGAATCACCAGAATCCGAATCACCGAAAGCACATCCCTCAACCATCACGCCGCCACGTGCGTGGCGCCGAACCGCCGGCCGTTTCTGTCGAGCTCCCTCCGGTGCGCGAGACGGCCGGAGCTCACATCCTGCATCCAGGTCTGAAGATCGGTGAGCTCCTGAGGGAGGTTCCGGGGCACCAGGTCTGTGCAGGTCGGTCGGCAGGGGGTCGCAGGAAGGGGGTCTTTGATGTGGCTGGGTCCGTCATTTGGAACGCTGCTACTGCGGGGGAAGGAGGAGCTTTGAGCCTTGGACAGTGAATCCCCTTCCGATGTGTTTTTTACAACTTTTTCCCGTTTTCTCTGTTCCTTAATATGACTAGCAGCAAGGACGCGCTATTAGGTGGAGGCCATTGCAAGTAGGTTGGACGTGCATCGATTTGGAATGAAGCCACGCGAGGAAGCCACGCCAAAGAACAGCTCGAAAGTCGCTCCAATTTCAAGCAGCTTCGAGCTCTGTACGTAGACGTAGACAGGTGGGTGGGAAATGTCGTGAACCGGTGAAGAGTATTCCCAAGCTTCCATTAGAATGCAAGCAGTGGATCAAATAAATGCCTTTGCGTTCAATTTTGTGGAGCAGGAGAACTTAACTTATCAAAGGATATCAAAGGTATTCCGAACTGTTCTTGTGGTTCTAACATTTGACCCCACCGGGGGAATCCGTGGCTGACTGGTGGAGTTCCGAACTGTTCTTTTGGGTGTCTATAGTATAGTATGCCCAAATGGTCAAGACAGGTCAAGATAGGTCCTGTCTTGACCATTCTCGGAAGCCTCGATCCTTGCCGGCGCTTCGACCCGGTCCCAAGCAGTTCGTTTCTTTTCGTCCCACTTTCCGTAATGGATCCGAACACTTAGGGTTACCGGGTTTGCCATATCCCAAACACGACACATGGGACTGCCATAGGACTGCCGCCCCATTGACCCCCCAAACCACCCCAACTGATCGGAATATACGGCATACATGGAGTGTTTGGGTATGGGGTTCCAACATGTTCCAACCTGCTTCTGCTTGGCACTGGGAAACCTCGAACCGTCCCCCATCTCGACGCCGCAAACGGTTCGGGGAAGCCATACGGTTCGAATGTCCGGAGAGGACACGGCAAACGGAATAACGTTGAATCACCCCGTGCTTTTCCTACAAAAGCGACATCAAATCTCTTAAACTTAAGTTCTGAATTGGCAGCCTCCCCAAAACCTGCTCTCCTGCACCTCCGCTTGCTCCGCTTGCCGCGCCACCCGCACTCCACGGACACCGGTCAACCTGCCGGCATTCGATGCCCGTGGCCGGTTCAGCGCACTCCGCGCTCGCAGAGGTCCAACAAAGGCGCGGAGTGCACCCAATGCCAAGAGGGCTGGCAAGAGGCGGCGCTGCATGGCGCGGAAATGAAGCGAATGTAAAACAGCCTGACCCGACCGATTCAGAGAGACCTCCGGCAGTATGGCACAAACCGGTGAAAAACTCTTGGCATTGCTGAAATGAGTTCTTCTCTCTCCATTTCCATGCAAGAGAATCCGGTTGTTCGGACACTTGCTGAGAGGTGTTGAAGCAATTGCCAGATCCTAATTGGTTGATTGGGATGAACATTACAATCAAAATGTATCAACTTGTTACTTGTGTATCTGAACGGTCTTCAATAGTTCAAGAATGGTTCCATCCACATTACCCTGCAACTTGACTTGCCTGTGAGAATCAGGCGCTGGCTTGCCGGGTGAGCAATGAACCCTTTGACTCATCTCATCCTTATCCAATTTTATGCGACGAAGTCCCGCTGGAAGAGTAGAACGAGGTCCCGCATCTTGCTCCGAACCCAAAGGGTCGAAGGGCATGTCCTGGCAAAATAACTGGAACCTGCGGGTCCGAATGACCTGGGGGTGCGCCAAACTCAGAGCCATACAGTTCAGGTGTGCGTCCATCTTGTCAAGACCTTTACTTGGAATATACTGACCTGCAGATAGGACTCTTCAAACTCTTGAACTGGTTCGACTAGATTTGATCTCCGATGTCATCTGATGTCGTCTTGCTGGTAGAAGATAGGGCCCCACCAGGCTCCCAAGCCCTGACTGGTGCCACATCGAGGGAAGAAATCGCTTTGGGGTATCCAAGGTAGTTTAAGGGTTTCTAGCCTTCTGGAACAGCTCGAATGCTAGCAGCAAGCAGCTCTCTGAAAGCCTACGCCACCGACCATGTCTTAGAGACCTGTGTTTCAAAAACACCAAGAAATCTACAATCTACAATCAAAGAAGCTCGTTTCATCACTGAAGGGTCTCCTTGCTGCCCACTCTGTATCATAGCCTCCCTAGTAACAAGAAGCTACTAGGTGGCCATCGCTATTCGGTTGGAGCCCATCGCTACGAACGTAACAAGAATGCTACGAACGTAACACAGGGTTTGCTCCTGTGTCTCCTTGAACCGAAGTTCCTGAGCTCCCTAGCAGGTATCAACAAGGCCCCAGCGGCGCGCGACACGGCCTGGCACATCGGTGGACCGCCCGGCAGCCACGGGAGGAACATGAAGTTGGAGGAAACAGTTCTCAACAACGAAGCCAAGAAACATAGATCATTGCCTCTGCCAGCCAGCAAAAGCCAACCTGAATCCTTCCATATCCTGAAACACACCTTCAGCTGTAAACAGTGGGACCACAGGTGTGCGTCGGTGATGAGTCCAAGCTTCGTCCTTAGACTTCGAAGCAAAGATGACAACTCCAGCACCACACAAAGGATGGTTATTGGATGGAACATACATCGTCAGCGGGGTGTTTGAACCACCCTTTGGGTGGTGCATGTCCTGGCTCAGCTGCTTTTGGGCGAAGTCATCCAGTTGAAGTCGTATTCCTCCTGTCTGACTGAACTATCGGGTCTAATATATCCTAATAATAAGATCAATGAGGGCGATGTCAACTTTCTCCTCCGCTTCGTCTCACCACAGGCTTTGATCGCTCCTGCGGAGGCTCAGGGCGACAGTATTTCCTTCAGCCAAACACATTCTGAAGGTACAGTACTCTCCCTGAAATAATCATGAAAGTGGATGGCATACGGCCCCGAAAGGAAGACCATGAAGTCCGAGTACCAAACAGGTGGTCGAGAAGTCAAAGAACCCATGATGATTACTTCAGGGAATGTACACCTTTTCTGACTCTGAGATATCAACTGAACTGACGAGCTCCAATTTGTCAGAGGCAGCCCGACTTGTTGCGACCAAAAAGGACTGGAGCCACGGAGAAGATCAAAGAAGCATCGGCAAAGCTTCCTGGGCTTGCCGAATCACCACTGGGCATCTGGCCATAGACCAAACCAGGTTTCATCCAAACGTGAAAACACATCCGTGGCATCACACTGCAAGTGCAATTGATCTTGCCCTGTACTGCTACGGAAACTGCCCTCATCTTGACGGCCAAAACTATTGCTTCATTGCAGTTTCCCACAACTTTGCAATTTCTGCTCCATCTCTTTGAAAAAGTAAGAAATACTCCCACTTTACGTCGAAGGCATGCAAGGAATGGCAAGGGGCTTGTGAATGGCTGCTCGAAGTTCTGTGGAAGGCCAGGATGCTGCAGCATATCAATATCAACTTCGTATCAAATCCAGCATGACTGCCCCCAACATCCAAGGAAGCAGCCCAGTCTTCTCCACCACGCACTTTCGTTGCATGACGACCATGACGACCTTCACCACGAACCCACGCCCGTGGCCGACATGCGCCTCCCATGCAGCCTGACTGGAGCCACTTTCTCCGCGCACTGCATTCCGCTGCATCCTGGCGGAAAGACGCCGGTGGAGTGGTTGAGTGAGATCCTAAACGGTGGAGTGGTTGAGTGAGATCCTAAACTTCTTGGGGACGCCCTGTGGGTGGGTGGTTGCCAACCATTCGCCAACAGGTTCGTGGAGTGGCTGGGCGGACTGGTTGGCAGTTGATCTGAAGAACATACAGCGCCGCAGAACTCGCCGCATTGCAACTATTCATGTTCTCAAGGGTCTAAAATCTGTGCAAGGTAACCTACTACTAGAGTATATAAATAGAGAAGAACAAAATCTACAAGATTACCCTGCGTTTCTATGTCCATGTGTTGAGGGGTATGGTCCGAAAAGGGCTCTGCATGTATACAGGCACCTCTTCTTGGCCTATAGTGCACGCCTATACGTCTCAGGTGCGTGCATTAGCGAGATGAGTACTCCCCTGCACATGAACATGGAACCCCAAAACCACTGGGTTGGTATTCGGAAAATGGTCTTCCACCGATCTTTCTTCTCAGGTTCCATGTGGTCCGTTTGCGGGACTAAAAGCCCCCTAAACTTGTGAACTCTCCATCTGATCATAGCTTTGACGTGAATCTCGAGGGCTTGCATTCCTTGAAACCGATTCGAGGGGTCTCTCTGTTCCCACCACATATGTTTTTGGCGTCGAATGTTGATTAGAATGGGAATGATACGTCAACACTCAAACATCCCTGTCAATACTTTTCAATTCTTTTCAACACAACTCTTTGATACTCTTTGTCCAAAAGACCAAGGCAACATTGGAGCAAACATCTCTGGGGATGGATCAATCGCAAGCTTGAAATACAAAACCATAGAGCAAGTAGTTGAGCTTGATCTACATGCACTTATCGAACCCCCCCCACATTAAACCATTTTCCGTTCACATCTTTCAGCCGCATCTGTTGTTCTTTTCTGTCTCTTTGGAGACTTACATTACTTCCCTTCAACTCGGGGTCGGTTGCTCAAGGTCCCAGCGGTCCGGGGGCGAGCCGGGCGATTCATACACCGTACCCAAAGCGAGCGGTTGGGCGTACAGCAGGGCTAAGCAGTGCAAGCCATTCACCTGGCTGGTCCCACGAGCTGATTGGTAACCCTATCATCTGTGAAAGTGCACGGGTCTGATCGAGTCAGTTTTAATCGTGATCGAGTCTGATCGAGTGGACACGTCCTCTTGGACTGGACCAAAGGCTTGGAAGGACTGGACCAGTTCTTCTCAAAGAATCTGACATGCGTCTTGCTCCTTGATGAGAATACCCATCAAACCTGCTATCAATGATCGCAAGTAATCGCAAGTAATCGCAAGCAACAGTACAATTACATGAAAGATCACCCCAGAATGGCTGCCAACAGGGAGGACAGTAGCAAACTCCATGTGAACAGCACTGCGACCCTAAGGCATGGTTGCTTTAGAACATCAACAGTACCATCTTGTTTGGCACATGACCTCAGCTTTTCAAGCCATCTTGTTTGTTTGGGCAGGGTCCATTCCAACCAGGGATCTACCAGCCTGGTGGGGTAGATACAACACATTCCCTCAAAACCCATTGATCCCACTGCGCAGTGCGGAGCGAACGGAGGGACCCACCGAGCGGACGGACCACGTGGACGGCGGGAAAGTGGGAACCGACGCAGCGGACGCGGCGCTGTTTTGGGGAATTGATGTAACTCTTCTGTATAGGCTACGGACGTAACAAGTGCATTACTACTACGTGTATACTATATAGTAGCAAATAGCTACTACTAGCGATGCACTTTGCTAGTAGCGATGCACTGATTTACTAGTCTGAGATGAATGTAACTCTCCCAGGTTCAGCGGATCGCGCCGCGGATTGAGCCGCTCCGTTGATTCTTTATAAGAAGAGGTCTTCTTTCACCACACTTCGTGGTGAGTTGATGGGTTGATTGCGTAGATATCTTGTCACGAAAAGGCAATCATATTGTATTACCGTACCATTCTTGGAACCATACTCTTGAACAAGATTGAACAGGTCACAATCTTCGAAGCCCAACACCTCCCTCCCCACTCCCCTCACCGTGGTCTCCATGTCAAAGTGCTTTTTGCAGGCCAACATTCGATCTGCCACCTTGCTATTCGAGGAAAACTGGTTTTCCCAGCGAGCGGGATCTTCTCTTTCAATTGGAAGGGAAAGGTGTCCTTGTCTGTAGTAATGTACATTTCTGGGTAGTGATTCGCTTTCCTACATGGCGATTTGCATCTCGTGTTCATGTTCTTCGAGAGGAAGCCAGTCTGTTTGGGAACGATTTCTCTCCAGAAAACTTTCCTTCCCAATGGAAACTGGCAAAGGAGTTCCTACTAAGTTACATACTATAGATATACTCTGGGGTGGAAGTTCCTCCGCCGGAATTCCACTCCAATCCCTTGTAGGATTCAAAGGGGAAAGGGTTGCAGGTCATGTCTTTACAGGCTTGTTACCAAATAAGCTTCTTGTCTTCAACGAAGTGTTATCCAACAGCTACTATTCAGCGTTTTGGGACGAATTCATTTCTGTAGTGACCCCCTATGACACCCCGAAACAAATTTCTTGCTCAATCAACTTTGACGCTTCAATACGGAGCTCACTATTTATATTGTTTACTTCCGGTTGATGAAACAAGGACAATACTGCAACTGTCTACATAGTCTACTGTCCGTGCACCTTCCTTTCGTTTCTGTCTCAGGTGGTCTATATAGAGTAGAGTGCAAGATCCTGATACACACAAACCAAAGTCTCACAAACCATCACAAACCTATTATTTCAGGGACCCTTTTGGCCTTTTTTGAGCACGTTGATTTCAGGACCACCTGTTGAGAAATCAGGACTCAGCTCGTGAAACACAAGGCCTTGCACAACTGGCCACAGTCGAAGGTGATCTGCCAACGGGCGTAAGTCTTTAGAAGTCCCACCTCGGTTCCGGACGGTTTTCACGAAGGACTCCACCGCGGGCGGTGGAGTCCTTCGTATGCGTGCCCGACGGTTGCGGTGGAAGGATGGTTGCCCGGTGGAAGGAGAGGTGTTTATCATGCAGGTGGCCAGGGCCCTTGCAAGGCCCATAGGGCCCCAGGGTACTTTTTTCTTAGGCACAAAAGTCGTATCCATAGGGACCCAGTCCTTTGTGGCAAGTTACACCATGCATCATACGGATGCAAAGCTGTCGTATCCGGGATAGACATCACATGACATCACCCTTTGCAAATACACCCGAACGCAGTGGAGTGTTTCGCCGTCTTCGTGCAGCCCAAGTGGACTCGGACGGTCTTGGACTCGGAGGGTCGGACGGCCAACCGATGCTCTCATGACACCAGTTCTTGGCGGAGGTGTCTCACTATAGTCTACTCAGCAATGAAGACAGCAAATCTCTGGCAAGGAAGTGAGAAATGGCTCCCAGCATTTCAGCCAAGTGAGAACATGCATTGCTTGCCAATTGGGTAGAGGATCACGATATGTCAAAGAAAAGGACAATTGCCAATATGGCCTTGCTGCATGTTCCAAGGAATCATACTTCCTAGATGCTAGAGAAGTAAGTCCACTAAAACATACCACAACGGATATACAGGGTGATGGCATATGCCCCGAGTTCGGATTCCCATGAAATCCGAGGGACCCTACAGGTGGCTTTCACTCCAAGTAACCATGATTCTTTCAGGGAGTGTCCAGTAACAAGCTTTCTTCTCACTCCCGTGGGTCCAAAAACGCCCAAAGCCATGGCGGCGCCCCTGGGACTTCCCCACGATCTCCCGCGGCAGGAACAGCGGCAAGCTGGCCACCGAAGCCTCGACAAAAAAAACGGGTGGTTCTCTTGAAGGCAGTGCTATGAGGACTGCCGCCATTGGTCGATGTAGGGCAGTCCTATGGCAGTCCCATTCGTGTCTGGGACTGATGTGAATCACCATGAATCACCGACTCTCCCGGCGGAACCGATTCCTTTCGTTTCAACGACTCGACTCTTGGAATCTGAACGACGATCGGAGCGGAAGATCTGGAAGAAAAAGGAGGTCATGGTGACCGTGAGATCATGTCAATCCAAAGAAGGAACGCTGAGATTCCGTCGTCTCGGGCTCTTCAAAGTGACCCGGCTAGAGGTCACTGCCTGGAAAAGGTCCCTTAAGGACTCCAAAAGGATCACATTGAAGAAACTGGTTGAATAGTGGACACCCGGGATGTGAACCATCAAACGATGATGAGCAAAGCTGGTGCCAATCCCCGTGGAGCACATCTACGCCAGGACGTCCTGAGTTTTTACCATCGCATCATGTCGGCAGATGTCGGCAGAACTCGCACATGACTTCGCATCTGGGTCTCCAACAAGGCGCAAGTGACGGAAGATCTTCTGCAAATAGCGCCTGAGTCGCAGATCTGGGCAAAGACCGATTTGGTCGCCGACCCCGGTCGTGAATGGCACCTAGGATTCCACACACATCAGGAAACATGAAATACACGTCCAACACACGTCCCCACCAAAGTGAACAAAGCAAATACTCTGATAATTGCAATTAATTATAAGTATATTAGTCTCTGCATATTTCCTTGTCCGCTCACTGTGAGACAAACACGTTGAACATGTCTTTGCCAGGGGTATTTTTAGGGGCATAATTTCCCAATCCCTGCAATGCTCCGTGAGCACGACGACATGCAGAAACACAGTGTGAACAACACAACACTACACAATCAAATCAATCAATAGAACAAACATGCCACATCTCGTGTTTACATCATCAATGCCATGTTCTTGCCAAACGTCTAGAAGCCTTTGCATGGTGGAACTTCTTGAGTGCAAGGCAACATTTGTAGGAAAACCATTTTCCTTATATATATAATATATTATACTCTTACATACATAATCAACATTGAAAAAAAATATATTGAACATTTGATAAAATTGGTAAGTAATCCGTTGGATAAAACACAAACACCCCGATGTAAACATGCGGGCTTTTGGGTCATAGCGCTTCGTCGTTGAGAAAACTGAAGACTGCGCCTGACACATCGCACGAACGTTGCGAACCTTTTGCGAACAGCATTTCATGAGTCGAAATTGGACGAACAAAACACATGGTTTGTATTTCGATCGATTTATATATAGTGCTCTTTTCATGATGGCATCGCATAACGTGTTGCAGCATGACATCTGTGAATTTTTGTTGAAATATTTGGTGAACAACATCTAAACAGATTGACCACTATCATGAAATCTGTTAATTTCTGGGCATTCATGCTGGGTGGTGAACATGTGGTGAACATGTGGTGAACATCCAGGATCCATCAACCTTGCTCGCTTGCTCTCGCACCGAGCGGCAGGTGCGACACTTCTGCAACCTGCACAAAAGCAAGAAGCGCTCCAAACGTGAGGTGGCCCACAAAACAAATTCCTTTTCTGGAATTCACAACCTTAAAACAATCTTTAGCTAAACAAAAGCCGTTGATACATGCGACACATCGATCGCAAGCATATATAGGATATGTTGTGATATTAAGTCACCAACAAAAGTTACTGTAAGCGGGTGATCCAAAATGAATACTTAACGTCAACTTAAACGACATGCTGATCCCTGAACACACTACGGATACGTGTATAGACTTGTATAAGTTGATATCTCTCTTGGGTTGCGTTATACCTCAAATATCCTCAAATGTTCCTAAGCACCCCATGGGACTGGCATATATAATATATATATGCCTACATTGATCCCTTTTCAACCACCCCCGATGTACCACCCCTGTCTGTATGAATTCAGGCTGCCAGTCCCGGATAACCGGTCGCGTGACCGAAAAAACCGGTCGCTCCGCGGCGGGACCTCGAAGCACTGGCCAAAGGCATAGGCGGCATTCGACAGCGCGGTGGGATCCATGGAAGACGCCTAGCACCGGCGAAGGCGAACGCGCGCGCGCGCGCGGTGAGCGCGCGTGGTTTCGCGATGAAGTGGACCATGTTGGATCAAACACGGAGCAAATGACATGTTAATGGGTCATGGGGCATGTGGTCGTGTATGATTGTGTTTGGATGGATCTAAGCTTGGTGACCAAGTTTTAGACTTGAGGATTGGTTGAGTTGAGTATGCAGAGTTTTCGCTGTGATCTTCTATTGAGGTAGTCTTGATAGACGAGGGGGTGGCTACATTTGTGTATCCTGGTTCACGCCTTTCAAGTGGAAATCACAAAGCAGCTGACGACGTTCAACTCTTTTTGCATCTGGTGATGTTTGAGCATCTTCGGAGGTTGCTGTATATGGCCATGTATCGTGATGACTGGATCTGACATCACAACAGCGGATTGGTTGATCCCCAGTTGAACTTGTGCTCCCGATATTTCCTCCAAACACCTGGACCGGGCGAGTTTTCCCTGTCAAGACCCCGTGGGGTCTTGGGGCCTATCGGGCTGCATCAGCCCAAGTCCCCGAACATGACAGGCTCCATTCTTCCCAGAGACTCCTGGAACTTGACGTAGGGGATGCCTCAAACATCGCCCAGCCTCTCCCGTTTCTCCCATTCCGGTCACGTACGTCCCGGAGAAACTGCGCCATCGATGAGGTTCGCAGCCCCACCATGGGTACTCACATGACTCACCGGTCAGGCCAAGCAGTTCTGACTCCTTGAGTCCTCAGGCTGTTACGTCACCTGTTCCCCACTTCGGCGAACGACGTTCGGAGGGTGGGTGGGAGGGTTTCTGGGACAAGGACTTTTTGGAATCCCAACATGTAGGATCATTTAGGGGAGGTGTCCTCCACCAAACCAAAGCATGTGATGTGCATTGTGGTGGGGGGGGAAGATACCGTGTCACCCGCCTTCTCGCGGTTATGCAACACACAAGCGGTGAACAAGTCGTGCGCGTGGCAGGAGACGCTCCTCGGCGGTCCCCACAGGCCGAGAAGATGTGGGTGATGTGAAGAAGGGATGGGTTATATGATTAATCCACATCTTGAATGATGGATTATGCTCCTTGCATTGAGATTCATGTTGGGTTCTGCCAGTTCAAATCTCCCAGTCCATCCGGAGGGCGGAGGGACCGAGTTCGATCGCTGGATGGGAGCGACCTTTGATCGGTACCGCCTGGAGAGATGGACACCCAGACCGGCAGGCCACTCCGACTGGTCAAATCCCAACGTCTGAGTGATGATTGCATGACTGTATATCCCAAACACTCCATGGGACTGACCTATTTGCCTACATTGGGGTGGTTGCCAAGGGGTCAATGTAGGTATATATAGTATATATTCCAGTCCCATGGATGGTCTGGGTCTGGAGCTTGGCTTAAATGATTGGTGTCTTTCGGATGTGTACCCATACGAGCGGGTATACAATACTAGCAGGTATATCACATACTAGCAGGTATATCAAATACTAGCAGGTATACAGTATACCCATTGAGCCTGTCGCACCTGACGCGGTCAAACGACCTTTTTGTTTAGGTGTGGTTCTAAGTCTCATCCCGGAGAAAGGCCATGACTCCTAACACAGAAAAGGCCTGATTTCCGTAGAGCCATGACAAGAAATGGATTGCATGGATTTCCCTAACAGAAAGGAACGCTGTGGGGGCCTGCGTTTTCAAGTGTTTCTAAACAGCCATTGTTTTCAATAAAATCACTTTACTTATATTATATAATATATATATATGTATTGTTAAACGTTTCTTATATATTGATTTGTTATATATTAAACACACAAAATATTTGTGAAACAATAACCAAAGCTTATGTGCCACACAATGTAGGCAAGGAACAAGGACCTCTCAATCTGAAGGTGGAAGAGAGGGATCTCTGGGGGGGGGGAAGCAAACAAAAAACATAAAGAGCATTTGGCAAAGGCTGGGAGGGAGGAGTGAGGAGGAATGGTCGACCCTCGCCCTCCAGATTAGTATCCTTTGGCAAAGGCTGAGAGGGAGGGTCTACCAAAAAAAAAAGGGGTCGACCCCCTCCTCCAGCTTAGGATTCTTTGGCAAAGGCTGGCAAGTCTAGTAGAGCAGAGTGATAAAAACACGTTTTTTAATTTTGAAACTAATTTCACAATTATTGAAATGTATACAACTGACTTTAAGCTGAAGCATGCTGGTATTACAGTATAGTGTGTTAAGATTGATGCTTTCGCCATCAAAGCTGAAGATCAAAAGAACCCAAGTGAGTGGCTTTTATCAATAAGATTGGAGGCTGGAGAGTGAGCAAGTATGTGGATATTAAATTACCTCATGAATTTTACCAAGTTGTAGAAAATTAAAATGTAGAAATTTCAACATCTAAAGATAGATACATTCAAAATGATAAGTATGATTGATACTGATACTGATGATATTGTTAGTGACATTGAGAAAGTGAACCAGGGAATGATTAGGATATTACTTGCAGGAGCCCCAAATTTAGTAAAACACACACAAAAACACGGAAAAACACGGGCCCTCACAGCGTTCCTCTCTCTTCCCTAAACCATCCTAAACCTTACTGAAAACAACTGAAACCGTGAAACCAAGCCCGACAGACGCTCATGAGCTCATGTGACTAACCTGAAAATCATGCACTGTAGTACAGCTGCACAATTGCATGTTCGCTGCGATCAAGGCCTTCCATGATGAAACATTTCACACACCGAAAAAAAACCACTTGTTCCGAGTGCGGCACATGCAGGCGTACATGAGTCGGGCCAACTCCAAGGGTGTGGCCTCGGGACTTGGCGAAAAACTTGAGAAATGAGACCGCCCACCCTGGTGGGTAACCTGTTCCCTTCTGCCTGGGCGAAGGCACGTGCATCTTTTTGGAGGGGTCTACACAGTCTACTTCACAAGCCATTCTAGAGAAACATGGTCTAAACGATGCTCCTTTTGGATGCCCTTCTGGTTGGGACGTTGGGACATGGCGGGTCCACGGCGCTGACCTCACGACACGACGACTGCGAATCATCCCAGTCGTCTCAAGGCCACAGGGGTTGGAGGCTGCAGGGGCTGTATGATGGCCTCCAACCCTCCTTAAGGACTTCATAAAACATCATAAAGCTAGCATTGCTATTAGGTTGGAGGCCATCGCTCTGAGAGGTTGGAGGCCATTGCTATTAGGTTGGAGCTATTAGGTCGTTGTGACTCAGTCTGACTCAACACCTGTGCTCCAATCTGCGCAGGTCCCATCCAGGGAGTTCATCTGTAGGAGTTCTCAGGGGCGGGCTCTGCGCGGGTCCCTTTGGTTATGCCCTTTGCTCCTAGTAGCTTCTTGTTACTACTAGTAAGGCACTTGTTACTAGTAACTAGTAGCGATGCACTTGTTACTAATTGATGCTAATGAATGTCAAGATGAAGCAGGAACCACTCACGTCGGACCCATGTCACGGATGTCGGACCCATGTCTTCAACGTCATCTGCGGGTGTCAATTGCCACCGCTTTCGATAGCTCCATCCTTCGATGGATTCCGCTGTCCACCAGTCCACTCTCCAGGTTGCAATATCACCCTCGCCCGTATGAGCGAGACCTCGCCTCCGGCAAGGTGGGCACCACCCCGTCGCAGAAGCGACTCATGGTCTTGGCGTCGACGCCTCGGGTGGGTTGGCGGCGCACCCGAAGAACTCCAGAGCTGTGAATTCTTTGCAGATTACAGTAAGTCTTCGTAGACCAAACGTTGTTTTGTTGGACCAAACTTGTCCTTTGGGAGATCAATGAGAGGGAACTGAGATACCTGCTGAAAGCTCTTTTAATTGGGACTCGCCTGAGGACCACATGGTCCCCAGCAGGTACGTCCCAAACCACTTTGACTTCTCCTTTGGGGGCACTACATACATCACTGGGGTGGGCGGTGGGCGCTTAAGCCATTTGTACATATGATAGATCTGATCTACTGGGGTGCGCTTCCACCTCTGTCGAGGTCACCCCACCCCCTGTCGAGGCCCCCACAGTTCACGCGTGCCAAGGCTGTGACGATGACCTCGTCGCCGCACCGCGACCGAGCACGGAGATGACACGGAGACCAGCGGCACAAACGAGCCAGAGCTGAAGCGGGCTTTGTTTTGTCAAAAAGGGCCAAAAACCTTCATCCACGGTCTTGGGTGTATTTTGGACATTTTTGGACCAGTTGAGAATCCTCTTAGAAGGCATGAACAGCAACTTTGGTGTGTTGGGAGCGAGGGAAGAGTTGGTGCATGGTTAGTTTCATGGAAGTCTTGCGGCTTTCGGGTGGGCCTTTCCTCTTTCCTGCGGCGTTCCAACGGAAACAGCCTGGTTCAAGACTAAATGTTCGTTTTGCCGACCGCATTCAGCCATTCAACCCATGGTTACACTCCCTCATAGTCCTCCGTATCCCTAAAGGGTTGAAACACACGGCCATCGCTTAGCATTTGCAGTACAGTTGGTTCATCCCCGAGCCAGCCATCAGGCACGGCTGAGTAGACCGGCGGTTGCAGATTCGAGTTTGAGATCTAGCGATCTCTGATATCTCTGTCCAATCCTTTCCTTATTTGCATACCAAACTGGGCAACTTGCCGCAGGTTTCTGTAATGAGGTTCGGTTGTTGTCTGTTTTTTTCAATTTGTTCCCTTCCATCTGGCTTTCCTTTCATCAGCCTTCACACACTTTCCTGTTTTCTTTTCATGTCCATCCTGCCTTCATGTCTGGTCACTTCATCTTCTTTCCTTCTTTTGCACGCACACCTGTCGGGACCTCAGTGTATGGTACAGCTACACTGAAACTAGGTTTCTTACGTGCCCCAGGTCTTGGTACAATCGGTGGTGCCTGGTCATTTGGTTCCCTCTACATTGCGTCTTTTCCCTTTTCTTTTGCGCTGACATGTGCTTCAACCCCTCCCTATCTGGGGTGTGTGTGTGTGCGTGCGCAACCCTTGGAATGATAGGGAGCCTTTTGGCTGTTGTCTTGTTTTAACCATGCAGGGGTCTGCAGGGAATGTCATAGTTCTGCAAACAACGAAAACGGCTATGACATTCTGTGATATCATCATCATCATTATTTGTAGCTGTACGGCTGGAAGAAAAGCAGAACGCACAGCACGACACAGCCAAGTGCCGCCAGTCATAAGGTGTAGGTGAAGACAGCGACCAGAGCAACCAAGCAATGGCAGCCACCCAACAGAGTGAAGTAACGTCGACCACCGTCGACAGCGGTAGCACCAGGTCACCGCGAACGTTACCACCAACAAGCCAAAGGCACCATCATCATCAAAGTCACAACCCCACCATGTCGATCCAGGGTACGGCCCAGCGGCCTCCACTCAATGGATCAAAGCCAAGACGCTCCAGGTACCAAGCCACAAGGCGAAGGAGGGTGCAAGCCCTGTACAACAACACCATGCCAAACAAAGTCGGCCAGCTGTACACTGTACAACACTACGTCCAAAAAAAACAGCCCCTCAGCCGGAGGACTGCAGTGTCCCAACCCAAGGTGTGAGCGAGAAGAAAACGTTCACACACAACCCAAAACCACACCTGGTGATGTGGCCGAAGTAAACCAAAACTTCTCCCTTGTGCTCCATCGGGCCAGACCATCTTGAAGCAGAATCGAACTGCAGGCCAAGCAACCCCCACTGCCAGCAGAGAACGGGAATTGAACCCATAGGCTACTCACAACTCACGCCTGTGTTCAAGGAGGAATTGAACCTCCAGTTGTCTATCATCATTATTTGTAGCTGTACGGCTGGAAGAAAAGCAGAACGCACAGCGGCACGGCGCAGCGAGCTGCGCCACCAAGCCACAATCGCAAAGATTCGCCAAACCTTAAAATCTCCAGGATACCTAAAGTGTGGGCAGGACAATTCCTACTCCCAAAGGATCACGACAATCCACAAGGCAAGCCCAAAAGGCAGACCTTACACCTCCCATCTAAAGGAAAAAAACGAATCAGCCGATCCCTTTAATAGGCGTCTCATAACGAAGATCCCAGATCTTCCGAACGACTTTCGCCAACCAAGTCGTGTGAGCAGAAGATTCGCCAACTCGAAACCATCCCAAACGCTTCCCGAGGGGGTGATCACAAACAACCATCGAAGGCCTATTGTCACAGTCCCAGCTACAGTGGTCCCAATAGCCAACACGGCCACACTTCCAAATGCAATCCGTGGGGAACCCTGCAGGATTCGCTCGATTAGCAAAAACTCCAGGCGATCTAGCCGCACCAAGCATCACGGAGCGGAACGCCGCCTCCGAATTCAACAACCGACTCATCTTTGCAAAATCGAATTCGAGAAAGTCGGCGAGTGAAACATACATATCCTGATTATCATGACGAGCTTGTTTCATAAATTTGCTGAAACAAAACCAACGCCAACCATTCCTAAGAACATGTTGAAGGTGTTTCAAATGCTCAGTACCAGAACAAGTCAAATCAAGAGTACAAAGCTGTCCAGGCATTTGCCAAACCCAATTGGAACAAATGTCCCAACCTTTCAAGGCTAACCACCTCTTCAAGATGTGTAGCGGGCTTCCGCGTTTAGAAGCCCAGGCAAGGCCAAACTCATGCTTGAGCGTGTGCACCACACGCAGCAAATTGACGCCGATCACGCAGTCCATATGCGCGAGCCCACCCATGAGAACTCCTCTGAGGAAAGGGTTGGCAGCACTCAAGGATCTCTGTCCTTTTCGGAGCGCCGCCCACCACTTACGAACAACAGCATCGGTGGGAAGCCTACTGATCCAACCATACAAACACTTAGAGAGAGCATACATCCTAGCCGCAAGATGAAATTTACGAAAACTCAGACGAAGGCAACAGATGAGATGCAAGACCAAAAAAGCTTGATCAATGCGGTGTTGCTCTTTACGCCCAAAAGTACGGGGTTGAAATCCCGCCTGGACACCCAGGATCTCAAATTCTTTAGAGATTTGATCGTCCGAAATCCCAACCGCAACCAGCTTTCTGGCATGCCGAGCGGTAGAGGAAGCAAAAGACGTCTTACGGTCATTTTCAAGTAAACCAACCTTGCCGGACCAATCAGCCCAAAGGTTGCGCTTAGCCAACAAGCCTTCGGGGGACGGGGAGCTGAAACTTCGGTCATCCATATAAACGCGGTCGATTCCCCCCCGAAGTCTGGGCTGCAAGTTCTGAGACACGAACCTGAGACCAGACGTCATCCACATCTGCAAGGCAAGCGGCCCCCAAGGGTCCCCTTGAGGCATGCAACAAGCCGCATCCAGTTGCACCGAATGATAATGACGGTTCCAAACGATCCACCTTTTCTGTTGTTTCCACACTAAACTGAGAGTGTCAATCCAATGTTGGGGGAAATGGCCAGCATGGAGAAGAGCCTCCGTACCCTGAGGGTCTAAAGTGTCATAGCATTTCGAGAAATCTAAGGTACACCCAAAACCATCATTGCTAATCCCCAAAAGAACCGCAGCAGCCGCAAGTTGAGCCTCGGCCTTGGGCCCTGAACCAAAAATCACTTCATCCGGAATAGCATCGGCAACCCATTTACGAGTGGAAGCACACTTCACAAGGCAGGAAGACCATAACCTCCACCAACAACTCATAACCGTGATAGGACGAATGTCATCAACCCTGATAGAACCCTCCACCTGTTTGCTGGTCTTAGGCAACATGACGCACCGGGCCTCCAAGAACTGGGCGGGAACCTTTTTCCTGTGACCCCAAGAAATGGCTAACTTACGGAACATTTCCAAGATCCTACGAGGGAGAAAACGAATTTCCGCTCCAAGCCAACCATCCACGCCGCCCGAACCAGTCATAGATCTAGCGATACGAACCACTTCGTCCACCGACGGGTCTTGCCACTCAACCGGAGCGTAAGCGGCATGCCTTTGCAGGAGACTATCTCTGGTGATCCCATCAGGACGTCCCTCTTTAATTTCTTTCCAAAAATTGGACCAGTAGTTGAAAATACAGGTAGTAATTTCCTCAGCGGTGCAAACATTTCCATGAGCGGACGCAACCGCAACCGAACCTCCAGAGTTGGTCCGATTTCGCAACCATCTTCCAATAGCTTTGGGGTCCTCGTCAATCCAGGTTCTCCATTTAGCAATTTTTTGGGAACGCATGTCCATTTCAAGAGTTTTGAGGGTAGCACTATCTTTCTGGATGAGTTGATGCACATATTGCACCAAACCTGCCAAATCGTCAGATTTCTGACGAAGTTCCGGGAAGTGGCGGGCTAATTTATTAACCAAGCTGTTTTGGACCGCACGCTTAAGTGGATCCGGAGCTCGAATGAGCCTCAAAGCCACCTTTTTGAGTTCGCAAAGCCGGCCCAACCGACGACGAAACTTGAGCGTTCGAAACCACCCGAAGGTTTCAGGAGGTCCATTTTTTGCCACTGACCGTTTGGTCCATTTCCCAAGAATGCCTTTCTTATGAGGCATGTTGCATTTACGGAGCAACGTCTCTTTGGATCCATCCTCTGCAAGGGAGTGCGCAAGCTGCCGAAAAGAGGTGCGAAACGTTTTGTCAACCGCACGGTTGAACCAATCCCAAGCCGCTTGAACGGGAAGCTCAAAAATCGCCTCATCCGGGCGGTGTTCATCCCATATCTGATCCAACAGCTGGGTCCAATCCTGCGGACTGATCCCAGCAGGTTTTTGCCAATCCGGAGTGTGCTGCAGGGTCCCCAGGTAAAGATCTCGCCGAGGAACATGAAAATCGGCCAAAATCAGCTTATGATCAGAAATGTAGATATCCGAAATGGTCAAACCAGAAAGCCCCGAAATCTGGTTAGAGGCAAACCAGTCAATTTCTCTGTCCGAGTTCCAACGAGTGCTGCATCCTTGCGGGCGCGGGACCCCCCCAAACGCTTTGAGGGTCTCTCCAACAAGCGAACTTTCAGGGGTTTCATTAGCATCCCCAACCGAGATCCAAACAGAAGCGTTAGAGGGCCCAAGGGCCTCAAAAGCTTCCAAAAATAATTCACACAACTCCATCTGAGCATCACCCCGATTATCAGAAAAAGAAACCGGCGGAGCATAAAACGTGAACAAACAAAAGTTTTCAACCCAGATACCCAACAATTGGCTGTTATCCGTCAAGAACCTACAAGCGATACGAGAAGTTAAATATCTAGGAATCAAGATAGCAACTCCTCCCCGCGGAACACCCCCAGTGCTTTTGCCATGCTGAAAATAGCAGTGAAACCCTTTCCGAGCGGCCGAAGTCTTGAACGACGCAAACTCGTTTGGCCACATACGAGTTTCCTGCACACAGAGCACCTGAATCTTGGGATTAGCCACCAGCATATCCAGAGCAGCCCAACAACCGTTGGCACTATGACAGTTCAGACTACCAATACGCACCTGCGACAGACTTTCAGGGCCAGGATGTGGCTCAATCCCCTCCTGGACCAGCTGTCTGAGCCACTGGTTGGAAACAGAATGTTTGGACACCAAACTGTCCGAGCTCTTTGTTTGGGAATACCAAGACTCGGCTTCATCAACCGAAATACCCCAAGCAGTACAGAGAGCGACCCGATTCTGAGGGCAGGCGCTCAACCGTTTCCAAGCACTTGATTGCACAACCAGAGGAACTTTCCGCAAACCAAGGCAGCGACGGTGGTAGTTCCCTCGTGTCCAAGTGCGACATTTCACACAAGTATACAGGGAAGCAGTACGACTGCGTTGCTTGGCCGAAACCAAGGGCCAAGAAGACCAATCCACTGAAACCGGGACCAGCTCATGCCCCTTTTGCTTCAAGTCTTTGCGAGCTAAAGCCCTTTGTTGCAGCTTTTTCCCAACCTGTTTTTTGGCATCTCTAAAGTTGACCACTTTAGCAGGATCCTTTTTGGCCAGTTTCCATCGAAGGGCATTCAGACGAGCAGCGCCGGTTTTGCGTCTCGGGTGCTGCGTCCGATAATGATGTTGCACGGACTGGGTCTTTAACGAGGCAGGCAAGGCCGGCAAAGCCTTAGGACAAAACGGGCAAACCCAATCTCTTTCACCTAAGGGAAGCTTGTCACTGGCTTCAACCGGAACACTATATTCCCGCATAGTAAACACTTTCTCCTTTTCATGAGCATGCCTAGCAGCAATATGGTTAGCCCTTTTCATAGTCAGAGAGCGCTTGCTAGCACCACTGCCAACGAAGGTCGTTTTGCACAAATTGCAAGTCCAGCTAGTCTTAGGGGCACGTTTTCCAACCAATAACGGGTTCCCAGCCACCTCCGCATCATCTCGCGTGTTGGAGAAACGCGCAGGCCCACGGGAAGACGAAGATCTGCGAGCTTCCACCAGAACCGATTTGTCCTTCTTTAAACCCTGAGAACGGATGCTACCTTTCTTGGTTTGTTCACCCAAACCAGAACATTGACCCACAGCAGAAGACTTCGAGGAACCAAAAGAAGACGGGACAACCTGTTCACCAGCGTCAACACGAGCGGGTAAGGCCGTGTGTCTACCAAGCGACCCCTCAACAAGTTTCCCGAAGGATTTTTTGTCAGTGCTACTACCACCAGGATTAGAAAACCGAGTGTGACCCCCCAGAGATCCCTTAAAGGATTTAACACAAGAAGTGTTTCCAGAAAGTGAATCATGAAAACTTCGTTTGGACCGTTTCGTGGATCCAGATTGATATTCTTCCGAATCCCCTCCTGAAGTGGCCTGCGGTCTCAGTCCACTTCTTTTAGCAAGAGCATCTTGTGAACCACTATGTTTAGTGCAACCACCCAAGGAAGGCGCGGGACTTGACGGAGGTCGACCAGAACCTCCCCCTTTGTTTTCGCGACCCCCAGCGGGTCGTCCAGGCAAAGCCTTAGTCCGGATTTGCAAAGCAGTCTCAGCCTGGACCTCCAGGCATTCGTAGTGACCCCATTTCAGGTAGTACAGAAACAGGTCTTTGTTGGCACCCTCACTGTTAAAAGTATATATTTGTCCAGTCTCGTGGATACAGTGAATAGGACGGTCTAAAGTCGCAGCCAGAGCAGCAACTTCAAGGTTACCTCCCCAACTACCAATTCGAGCAATTTGCAGAATGTATTGATCAAATCCATTAATAGTGGTGTCCGACATGGTTTTATCCATAGTGTCTTTGTGATCCCAAAACAAAAAGTACTTGTCTCGATGTCGCTTCAGATGAGAGGCCGTAGCAGCACGCACGGATCTGTGATGATGGTCCCCTCCACCCGTAAGCTTGAGGCCTTGTGCCACACTTTCAAACAAACAGTTTCCTTGTCCATCGTTAGAAAGACGTTTCGCCCCGGCAGGAAGAGGGTGCGCAACACTCCGTTTCTTCTTTTTCTCAGGACTGGTACCAGGCTCAGCACTTCGCTTAGTACCATCCTGAGACTCAGTCATTTCAGCATCACCCTCAGCGGTCTGATGTTGGCCTTCTTTGACACGAGCAGAATCATGGCTCGCATCCGAACCCAGATTGCCATCATCCGAAGGAGGGACCAAAGGGGGGTCAGGAACCTTGGAAGGACCCTTTCCCAATTGAACGCTAAATTCACCCTTTAACTTGGTGGTGTGGAGACCTTTACCAAAATGAAAAAACCTCTCCACCACAACAAATTTTCCATCCTCAAAAGAATCCCCATCATAAAGCAATTGCATATACGTCTGATCCCCACTGTGGATGGCCTTAAACCCCCAGGTGGTACCACTACGTTCCCAACGCTTGGTGGTGAAAGTGATTTGAGAAAAACCAGAGGCAGTCAGGAAACTCTCAACCTGTTCAAGCTGCCAAAAACGAGGAGCAGCTCGCAGTGACCACGCTTTAGGGCTACTAGAGGCATTGTCAGCAGGTTTGGTCATAGACCGAAGACCCAACTGGCGCCAGCCCCTCGCAACCCCATGAGACGCAGCGTGCTTAGCAACCCGTCCAGCATACGCCGGCCAAGTTTCACCTTGGTTTCTTTCGATCCAGCTAATGAAGGGTTTGGTCCCCCACCCTTCCGCAGGTGTGGCATTCCAGTCCAAAGGATCTAAAAACCAACGCATCCCATCAGATGAGCGTCCACTAGCGGTTAAAAGGAGTCCAACTTGCTTGTCCTTAGGAACACGAATAAGCCCCTTAACCACACTTTCGGCGCCTCCAGCACCAGATTGGAGTTCCCAGCTCCAAGAATCGAGGAACCCATGTTTGACACTGGGGGCAACCCCAGTGATCCAACGTCGGGCGCACGTCCCCGGAGACTTTTGGATTTTCGTCCAGGTCTTGGAATCAGTGAAACGAGAGTCCAAAGTAAAACGTATCACAACAGAATTTTTCCGGAATTCCTCAAACGAGGCCTTCCCAGGTCTGCTATCAGTGGGAACAATGACTCTCACTGAAGATTTCAAAGCATCAGCTTGTATGTTACTCCACTTAGCAACATTTCGCGTGACCACTTTACCGCTTTCTTCCGTCAAGGGAATTCGGGTTTCGTGAAAAATCCAAGAAGGCAGCGTCGCCAGTGTGATCTTGGTACCAGGACGAACTGGTAACAGCACAGAGGCTTTTATATTGGTATCCCCCGCGATAATTTCAGCAATTCCCGCCAGGGTAGTTTCATTGTCAACAAGGATGACAAACGGGGTCGAAGTTCCAAGTTTGTCAACCATAGGTCCCAACTGAGCAGGGTCAGAAACAAGATGAGTGTTAGGCCAATCAGCGGGACGCAGTCGCAGCTTTGAAGGCTGCCCACTGCCTTGGCCTTGATACACCTTCTTTCCCTTAAGCACTTGAATCCAAGAAGATTCCTCAGTGGGGGGAATCTTCAAGCGGAGTCCCAACAGGTCGCACATTACCCTTTCCAGTAGAAGATTCATCCTTTTTATTTTCCCTTTCGCCCCAGTAGACGCATTCGATCGTTGTTTTTGGTGAGGTTCCAAGAATTGACCCTTGCGAGCCGCCTCAACTAAGGCAATCAATCGATCCAACAAACCCTGCGGTTTCTTCTGAGCACGAGCGAGTAAACGAGTAAGAGCCCCAACAAGCCCGGACTCGACGGGGTCTTTTTGCGAGGGTTGGCCAAGTTTGCCTCCAGCAGGAGGCCCTTGCACCCCTTTCCCTTTACCTTTCCCTTTGCCTTTACCTTTGCCAGAATGCAAAACCTGTTGCGACGAAAGCTTAGCTTGAACGTCAAGAAGCAAAGCCTGCATGCCATCTAATAACAATTGATCAACCTCCGAGCGCTCTTGCCGCTTTCTAGCAGTGGCATGAGCACCCCCTGCCCCTCCTCTGTTCCCAACTCCCACAAGTTCGGCGGGAACCGGGGGAATAAAAACATCCGCAGCTTTGAATTGTGAAACCAATCTTTTAGATTGACTTAAGAGACCATCAAGGACCCACTGGGGTGAAAACCGCGAGCAGTTCTGGGCTCGGTCTCGAGCGATCAGCACGTTTCGAAGGCGCTGACGGGTAGAACAGCATTTCATCCTATCATGATTTCGTGATTTCCAACCAAGTCGTGGGCCTACCGCACGACGTCGTCCACAACGGCGGGCAACGCGACAACACCTCTTCCGAGCAGGAAAAAACCTGCCCCACCACTTTGAGAAAAGGTGCCAACCAAGAGGCTCGAGGACCCAAAGGTACCCCCACCCAGAAATCCCAGAGAGAAACCAAATCACCCAAAGATACAAGGAAAAAACAGGGTTTACACATTGCCGCACAGTGGCCAAAGAGAGCCCAAACTGCCCTGGTAGCAAAGTAACCTGTTCCGAAATTTGCGGCGGTCCAACAGCTGCAAGAGCCACCAGCTCAGAGAAGTTGGCCAAAGGAGGCCCAGACAGCGCAGGCCAAAGGATCCCAAGTGCAGTGGCAGGCCGCGGCACAGCTGCAGCGCAAGGCCCTAACTCCTCCACCGAACCATGGCAGGAGACGTTGCAGCCCCACTCGTGGGGCCCATAAGGGCCGGGTTTACATGCAGCCCAAGGCACCACAAACCCTTCCGAACAAGGAAGGAAAGAAAGAAAAAGACACCAAACCAGGTGGAAAGTCAACCAATTCCACCGATTTTGGCCCTTCTTCGCTTTCTTGTACTCTTTTGAACCTTTCTTTTCAAGATTCTCTTCTTCAATCCATTTTCTTTTTGGGCTCTTTTTTTTTTTTGTCTTCCATTACACCATGACGGGAGCAAGGAGTCACATCCCCCTGCTATTCGTGCTGTACCAAAGTACAGCCCGTCTCTGCCAACGTGGAGGCTGCAGGTGTAGAGACTGACATTCTGTGATATCACTGGAGATGTCCAGTGACATATATAACTGCGTTTAACGACCTTCACTCCTCACTTGGTCCTGTTCTCAACTAGAACAAGAACTCTGGCCATTGCATCTGTTTGAGTCGGCAGTCACCTTCTTCGAGTGGCAAGCCGCATGTGGTACGAACTCTTATCTCGAGAGAGTGTGTGTGTGTGTGTTCAATTATCACAAGAAAAGGTTGAATAAGAATATCTTAAACCCCCACCCAAATGTTCATCTGATCTGACTCAAGGCCCTCTGGCTCTTCCTCCAAAATCCTCCCACGTACAATCATCTGTGGCTGGGCTGGGCATCCCTGCGGAAATATCGCGGACATGAAAGGCTTCAGTGCCCATGCCTGAAAGCATGTCATTTATGGCTGTCGCTCGAACAAGCAATTATACGCAATGCAATTATGTTAATGCTTACAAATGTTGTTTTCCTTCATGGTTGTTTCTTTAGTTTACAGTGTACAGCTTTCGAGGTAAGTAAACGCACATTTTGGTGCTAATTCAACGAGTGTAGACGGAGGAAACTAATTTGCAATACCGAACTTGAGAAGCGAACGACCATGGGCTCAACCCACGGGCATTTCTTCTACCCCAAGACTCGAGCGCTGTTGTGAGTTGGGATACATTGATCTTGCTTCCAACTTGGCTTTTTAAGCCTTAGAAGGCTTAAAGCTATGGTGACCTACTGTGCATTCTCAATGCTTTGGAATGCTTTGGACCAGGAGAACATGGTCTTCAGTGCCACACCAAGGCATACAGTAGCAGCTGGCCGATCTGGGCCGATCTTGTCGTAAAGAACAACGTGATTTCTACATGGTGTCAAGGTTCAGCATGCCATGGGACCACCCGTGTTTTTCCGGCCCCACACTCGGGCCCAGGCGAGACTGAATGTGCGTCACCTGCCAGGAAGCGAAAGGGTTTTAATTCGTTTGGACTCATTTGGAGAACAATCTCAACTTCCACTATGAGGGAAACGTCAGTGGATGTCTTGTGACAGCCAAGTTGGCTTATGGCAGAACTGCTTCTCCCAGTGCAATTGGGGAAAACATGCGGAAGACAGGCTAACGGCTAACCATTTCCCTCAACAAACTCAAGTAAGGTTCCAGGGATCCTGATGGTTTTGTTCCATTGCTCCTTGGCTCCTTGTTGGTTCCAGGCAATCATTGCCCTGCCCTGGTTATTACTTCTTGCGACCGAACAAGGAGCCCAAGGGATCCAGGTGTAACGACCGAATCCTGGGAGATTTCAGGAAGTGAAGTAGCACAAATTCACCAAGCGCCTCGCCAGGTATGTGAGGTGCTTTCTATGGTATACGCTGTTGTTCACACAGGTCCATTGTTCAAGGGGAGGCAATCGTGATAGTGTTGGGCATGAGACAAGGCAAGCGGTACGTTACCATATAATACCTGCTTCTCCATGGTAGCATGTCGCCGCCGTTTGAACAACTCCAACTTCGTTTTCGCAAGGCTCTGTGCCGCGTCGCAGGCAGGACCCCCAGGGCCCCTGCCACCCTGCTGGAACGGCCGGTAGTTCCATGGACTGAGAGATGCGACAGCGAGACCGGATGCTACCGGGCGTAGCCGGATGCTACCGGCTACGTTCCGACGACCGGCTACGTTTCAAGTCATGTCATGGGCCACGAAGCGATGGTAGAGCTCCTCATCGCTGATGCGCAACTTGCTCGCGGCCTCAGAAGGGGGTTGTTCCGCCCGTACCCAGCTGCTTAGCAGCCGAGGGTTGGAACCGAGGTTGGTATCAATGGGTCGAAGTCGGCAATCCCAAAGACTCACATGCATGGTAAAAAATGTAAAAAAACACGGATTGTCTGGTTTTCCTCGAGAACACCATGATGTCCAAAGGATGGAATTCTAAAGATGATGTCCGCTTGTTGACAAGCTTTGGAACTTCGGACCACTGGGAGGTTTCACAGACTGTGAAGCGAGGTCTCAGCAGGCGCGACATGTCGTTTCATTTTGGCTGTCCGGGTGGGTGGAGGAGTAGGGGAACTGTGGCTTGGGATGAGTTGTTTTCAGATCAAAAAACTAACACCATATTTGAGCAGGACAAGTCATTCATCCCAGACATTCCATGTTTGAAATATATGATATATAAATTATAATTTAATATGATTTAATCATATATGATAATATAGTATAATATATGCCTACATTGATCCCCCCGAACCACCCCAATGTAGGCAAATATGGCAGTCCCATGGATGCATGGTCATGTACATCTTGGTAGAAGGGTGGCACAGGGCGGATTCTGGATCTCGGCCACATCCCCGACAGGGTTTCGTCCCACTCCCACTCCGCTCTGCCCGCAAAAAGCACGTGCTCTGCGTGCCACGTTCTGCCCGCAAAAAGCACGTGCTGCGGAGGCGCGTTGATGATCATGGTCAGCTCCATAGGGCTATGAAACTCCATCAGCCGCGCCTGGTGGTGAAACACCGCGCTAGGATGGGGTCGGTCCCCGTGTTCTACCAGGGGCGTGGCTGGTGGCTGTTGGGCTTGAAGGTCCACCTGCCATCCGTTAGGTTCTACAAGGGTCTGAAGTGTAGCTAGTCCCACTTCGCAACATCTACCAACTGGAAAATCCGGAAGACAATGATAACCGTGATAGAGCAAGTACCATCAACCCCAGCACGTCACACGTTTCAAAGTGGTCTAACTCTTCCGCTTCTGGCGCTCCCGGCACTTTTTTCTCGAGTGAAATGGGCACTTCGTCGGTGCCAGCGACCGCGACACTCTTGGAACATCCACCCTCTCGTCGGCTGAGGAGGACAGCGGAACAAACAAAGCCAGGCCAACTTCTTCGATCTAACCAACACAGTTGAAATCGATTCAACACCAAACGAATGCACAATGAAATTGGGAGACCTCCCAGGACTGACTGTGGGGACGGAAATCGACGGGCGTCTACCCAGCCGGCGAGATGGGCGATCCGCGGTCCTATTAAAGCTAAACCACGGTCTGTTTCGGTCATAGTGGATCGATCCAGTGGTCCAGTGGTCGCCAGTCTAAAACCTCCGCTCACCTGAGCGGACGCCACTCACTCCATCGAGATGGAGTAGCTCCTGACAACGCGAGCACCGGCACCGCAGCTTTCAACGCAATCCGCTCAATGAAGGGATCATATTATATTCCTTTCACAGAAGGGACATCTGTCATCTGCTTCACTGGACTTCCACGTGGATCTGAACGAGTAGACTTTGGAGTGTGTCAAAACCGGTAGACTTTCGGAACAGTGGATCATGAAATACTACTTGAGAGGCAACTACCGGTTGGTAGGACATGTTTGGAGTGTTGAAAGGGGTCGATGTAGGCATATATTCCATACATGGATGGTCGGCGAAATCACCAGAAGGACCCATCCATGATATCTCGTTGAAGGCGAGTCTCTTGGAGATTGAACCACATTTTGTGAGATTGAACATCAAAATCAAGTGCCTACATACACTGCTGGAATGCCAACGCTGGAGGCTTCGCAGGGAAGATTGGCTTTGCAAGGCTTCGCGGATTCCAAGTGGCTTTGGCCCTTCTTACTGCCAATCAATGAATCTAAACTTGCCAAATTGTGAAGCCTACGCAAGTGCCTTCGTGAGCCTTGGCAACACACAATGACATAATGTATCACATCAATGCCTTCGCGGACATTTAGTGAGTGCCAGTCTTGTCTAAACTCCTTCATTCGATAACAGAACACTGCTCAATTGAGAGTACCTCCTTTGTCACTGGAGGATCCTTTTTGTGTGCATAGCAAGAACATTATAAGAACATGCAATCAAGAACTGGTACCAAATTAAACAACCATCCAAGCAAGAGGCAAGAGGATTCTCCACAGAAGCCTTGGTCCCTCCCTGCAGCTTCCCCCTTCCCCTTGAAACCAACTCGACCCCCACCTCCGTCATCCTCCGTCGCGTCCAACAGGTCCTCGACGCCCCCAAAACGCGTCATCCTCCGTCCCGCGTTTACCTGCGCGGCGACGCCGCCTCACTCGATGGCATCGAAGAAGCGGAAGCTGCGGCTCTTGGGATCGAAGAGCCGCGTAGCCGAGAGCTGCAAGAACGCGTGCGCCGTGCCTGGGCGGTCGTCGTGTCCGGGGAAACCGAGCCGAGGAGCAGACCGGTCTCGAGAAGCGTGTGTTTTTGAGCCGGTTTCGAGAAGGATGCTGCGTGATTGGCTGGTTTTCTTGCTTGGGGTTTCAAATTGGTGATGGCTGTTCTTCTTGCAATTCGTGCAGAACAGCAAGTGGGGAGTGTTAGCTTAATAGCACTGCTTCTTGTTGCGGAGGAGAGACATGAAACGGGACATTGCACTTGTTTTGTTTGGACTCAAAGCTAATGGACTTTTCAATATTGCAAATGGATAAACAGGTTCTGTAGAAGTTTACTGATCTGTATGATATAGTATTCTGTAGCCACATGGAGCGATGGTAGCAAAAGCATGCAAAAGCATGAAGGCTGTTGAGTTGAACCGCAGCAAACAGCCAGCTAGAAAGGACACAGAAAACATCATGTTTTCCAGCAATCAGCCTCTTCCACACATCCATAAGTCTGTTTTCAGCTGTCCAGGGGTCCACCTTCATCTCATTTTTTTTTTTTTTTTTTAACATGGCACTCCACTCACCACGTGGAGTTCAAACATGTTGTGGCCAGGAACAAGGTTTAGCAGGGACATCCTCGTAATTAATTGAGGCTTGAACAAAAGGATGCATGATCAATGGGTGTAGTATTGAGAGCTCCATGTCAGAACTTGTTCTATTTGCAACTTACCAGACTTGCAAGTCTCCTAAGTCCACCCCCTAAAAATCTCCAACATCCCATGCCTTCCATGCCTTCTGTCCAGGCCATGTTGTGCCCAATGGGCCGATGCATCTTCTGACCCCCCGCCTTGCAGCCGCAGAGAGGCGCCTTCCAGCAACTCAGCAAAGGTCACCGGGCCCTTCCGCCGGGCCGCCAGCTCCTGGTGCTCCACGAAACCGGCGCACGTTCCGCGCGTCACCGGCGCGGAACAGCGGTTTGGTCGGGCCCGGCGGAACCGCCCAAACACCCGCGCGATCCGGCGCCAACACGATGACTGGTGCTTCGACTGGTGCGTTGGCGTTGGTGGAAACCGATCACTTTCTTCAATTGAATCGTTGTTTTTGACCGTGTCGGATTGGGATGGCCAGAATTAGTTAATGTGAACAAAGCATTTGAGTTTCCTCTTGGATGAATCGATGTGAACAAGTGCGAACTTGATTCTCTGGCAATTCGCAGATAATTAGTAACCGAGTCACACTCAATTGGTGGCAGCAACCGATTCTTCCGGAAAGAGACATGAACGCGCTGGGCCAGAATTGCAGTACACTAAGAGGAGCTTGAAGGAAACATAAGCCTAACATCATTGGTTTCCTGCCCTTCTCATACAGTACGACTTTCCAAGGAGTTGGGTTTGCTGACAGCAAGCCCAAGTCCGTGGATCTACACTCTGACTCACTAACATGGTTACGTGGATGGCATGGTCCCTTGGAAGACGACTTTCCTCTAGAAACAGGGTTTACCGCCATCCACTTCCATCGTTCTCGTCCCAGCGAAGCAGGGCGACCCAGGATCCCAAAGGCGACCCCACACGGACCAGGGGAGCCGCCTGCATCGCCTGCAGGAATGCTTCAGTGATGGGCCCCTGCTCTGCCCGCAACGCCTCAGCTGGACGCCAGCAGAGTGGGAACGGCGTAGGGTCATCCCCCCCCCAGCGATTCTGGTCAAAGAGTCTTTGAACATCATCTTGTCGTGGGTCATGGCACCTTGGTCATCCCAAAAAATTCACCGCCCACCCCAAAACATAAACTGGGATCGCTCGGTCATGGGTGTTCAATTCAGTTATGCCATGATTCTGCGCACCACAAATATCACCGAACCACACCAGGTTGTTGTTTGGTCTTCTATGCAGTGGACATCGGGGAAATCATTGAAGCCGTGGATCTTGCAACATGTACAGTATCAAGACAGGATAGAAATGGATATAAAGGTACATTTTTTGAGTGCAAGTGCAAGCCGGTTATGAACACAATATGTGTGGTACTGTTGAGGAAATGCATCCTAATCCTACACTACCTGGCATGCCAAACAAACTAAGGTAATAAGCATTGATGCACTGCCCCTTATTCTTTTGTCCCATGGTAGCTGGGTGTTAAATCACTTTGCCTTGTTGCCAGGCCTCCATCCACCCAACTGATCCACCATAGCTTATCACCCTTCTGTTCCTCCGCGCCCACTTGATAGCGTACAAGTTCTTATTCCAACATACTCCAACCCAAGCTCCATCCCTCAGCGACTGGACCGCCTGCCTCTGTCAGTTGCTCCGGGCTCATCTCTGCCTCTGAGGCCCCACCCAAGCCCACGATGTCCGCCGCCGCCGTGGGCGCCAACGACGAGGCGTCGGCGTCTTCGCTCCATTGGAGGCTCTGTGCGTTCCACTGGAAGGGCAGCTGCGGACAGGAGCAGGGAACCTCGGTGGTTGCAGGGAACCTTGGTGTGGGTGGGCCATAGGCATTGCCGAGAAAAAACCATGCAGGAGGAACACCTGGTTTTACTTCAATGTGATGTGACTATAGACTATAGACAACTACTCTACCACATTCCGTGACAAGGCTGATGAATCTCAACGATCTTGAAATCCACCCCCTGAAGGACGTCCCAAGTGCGTCGATCGTTTGATGAGCAGGTTTTGCCCAAGGAGCACAGCAGTCCACCAGCATTGTCAACCGGACTCCCTTCGGCAGGGTAGAGACTAGCTCATAGCAATCGCGACTTGGCAAATGGCCCGCCTGATGGATTTGCATGGAAACAGAAGGAAAGTGGGAGTGGAGTATGTGACGCCGTTAGAGTCTCTGCCTAACGACCAAGTATCTGGTTCTGACTGAGCATGAACTTTTGTGTTTGATTTCTCTGTTCGCCTCTGGATGGCCTTGGTGGAGAGGGGGGAGCCCTTGGGACTCAAGTTGCTCTCCATGCGAAGGCCATCATGAACGCTGCAGGTCAGCGTGTGCTGCATGTCTTGGATGAAAGGACAGAGTCCGTCTCTTTAAATTCTTTGGATCTTGATTTGAGCGACGCCTCAACATTCATGTTCAAAAGTTGGATCGTTTCTACTGAGGCTTCGTTTTTAGTTGCCCGGCTTCGTTTTCCAAGGAATTGCACCCGTTAGGCTACTATGCTCTGTTTGTTCACCCAAAGAACCATTAAAAAACAAACTACCAGTAATTACAGCAAAGGAACTTCTTAGGGCCAGGGTCCACAAAAGAAATGTCTCTCGACAAAGTTTGGTCGAGGACATGTGTTTTGTCAAACACATGTCTAATCAATCGGACGTTTTGTTGTCTACTTAGCGAATTAAACGTTTCTCATATTTTCCAATCAACTATATAATCAATGCAATCAGAGGGGAATCAAAAGGATTTCAACCAAAACCGCACAAACCTTGCAGGAAAAACGGTCAATTCCCCCCCCTTACGCCCGTGCTGGCCACCAGTTGTATCACGATTGGTCCCCCGTTCCGCCTCGGCGAAGTCGCTGGGGCAGTAGGCATCCAGCAGCGCGTTCCCCTCCTCGTGGAGCGCCGAGTGGCCGCTGTAATGGAAGAACAGCACGTCTCCTGACCCGGAAGTCCGCTCTGGCCGTCCAACACGGACGTCAACCACAACGGACTTACCACGTAAACTTGCGCTGTTTGGTCCAGAAATCATCCAATTGTCATAATGTCGTATCGTAATATATACCGAGCACTGTAGGACTGGCAAATCAAGAACCTTGCCGCGCCAGCTCGCCGCGTTGCCATCGACCGCATGTGTCTGGCCGCGTCCAAGACGCCGCGTCGTCCGTCCTGAGACCACGTTGTGGGTCAACCACTGTAAGGCCGCCACGAAGTTCGACTTGCTGGGACCTGTCGCCGGCGTCCGGTGGGGGGAAAAACGGTTTGACCACACCCCGGCCCCCCCCCGGACCGCGGAGCAATCTTGAGTGGCTGTTTTGGAGCTGAGAAAAGAACATCCGGAAAAAACACACAAACATTGGCTACATGTATACGATATGTATACGATGTATACTACTTGGACTCCCCACCAGCTGCAAAGCTTTGAAGCTTGGCCAAATTCGGTGGGCTGCCAGTGATCTTTAGATAGATGGCCCAAATCCAACGGTAGCTCCGCACGATGTTGTTGGAATGCTTGTGTGATTCATCGTTTCTCCACAAAACAAACTCACCCCTTTTCAAACTATTCTTGAATGTTTCTGCATTGTTTCAAAGGATCCCGTGTGTGCTGTCATCGCCAGGCCGCACTGGTGTGACAAACAACTGGAGTGTTGTTGGTGCTGGAATGTAGGACACTGTTGCATCATGCATCCAGGTTGGACACGGTGTTCCGTACACCTGGTCACGTCACGACCCTTGGTCTCCCGGCGGTCGGTGCCGGGCTCACAATCTGAGAGCTTCAAGATCCATTCCTCTTGGAATCCCAGCCTGCGGAGAAGATTGGGCAGGATGCAGCCTTCTTCAAGATCCATGCGGTGCAAGGTGCGAATGTTTGTCTCAGCTCTGGCGGGGGGATTGGCAACCAGTTGGTGCTCATCGAAAGAGTCATCTGACGTGTCTGGAAACTTCACAATGAACAGGTATACAGATGGCTGGGCATCGGCAAAGGGAAGGATCTCACAGAACCAAAACCTGCTTGACAAAGTGAGGCCAAAACCATGGAACCTAAATGCTTTGCCATTCCCAAACAAGCTTGGCATTCTGGACGACCTTACTACTATATGAATTCAATGCCAGTAATCATGGTCTATACCTAGAGCACTTATGTTTTACTCCTTTGTTATTTTTTCAACTGCAGCCGGATGACTTGGACATTACGTGACTGTCTGTGAGCCTCGACATGGCTGGAAATCCCTGTCCTTCCCTTTCCTGCAGCCCTACAGTACTCATTGGGGTCAACAGTCTGGGCATAGCAGGGTTCAGAGGTCTGTGGCAAATAGATGCTGATAGTAACATTTCTGGTGGGGCGAACACATGCTGGCGCTGTTAGGCAGAGCAGGAACCTAATGCAGATGAGTCTAATTGCATGCTGGTTTGTGTTCTGCACCAGGAATCGACAACCAAGAAAAAACTAGGTGCCCTTCGAAGCACTCGGATGTAGTGACGTAGTAATTGCAATTGATTCTCTACCAAACCATTATATAAATATTCACACCGCTTCGCGGTCAAAGCCGCCCGCGCGGATACTTGTGCTCTCAGAGCCGGGAAATTTCATTGTGGCTGTAGCAGGGGTGGTGCTAGTAGACAGATGCATCAGAAATAAGCCTACCTGGGCGAACACGCGTCCGCGATGTCGATAGCGCAGTCTCCCCCGGGCGGCGTAACCGGCATCGCGAATCCGAAACCATATGAATTTGTCTCCATCTTCAAAAAGAATAAACAAACATACTCACAAATGTCACAAACACACTATTTCCCGGCCAAAATAGCGCTCCCCCCTAAGCTAACGCTTGAGCTGGTAATCTAGCAGCTTGCATGCGGATTATTCCGGTTGGTAAGCCTAGACAACACCTCACGGCCAAATTTCTTAATTGAAGCCGAAGAAAGCAAACACTCTTCGAAACTCAGGGTATCGTACACCTGATTCATCATGAGAACAGACCTCAGTCATGGCGGTCCGGCGGTCATTGGCATGACAGCCTTCCTGTTCCCAGAATGGACACCCCAGGGAAGTCAGATGCATCGACCGGAAAATTGACAGGATCACCTTTGACGCTATTAGGTCGGAGGCCATCGCTAGTAGGTTGGAGGCCATCGCTAGTAGGTTGGAGGCCATCGGCAGTATATTGGAGGCCCTCGCCAATCGATTATGCTAGTAGGGAAAGTGGGCACTGCTTTTGTACGTCCTTGTGTAGAACACCTCGGCTGTTCGGTGAAACGATGTGATGTGAAACGACGCATGTTGCTCCATCTCCACGCCATTTCGCGCCTCAACAGGATCTGTGTGACCCTCTCCAAGTCATTCCGCCCGCACCGCCGCTCCGCGGGGGTGCCAGGGTAGTTGAGGGCAATCAGCAAAGCCTGGCGGTGAGGAACGGCTTTTCAGGGCCTTGTAAAGCTGTGTTTTGAAGGGTGAGGCTATCTACTTCCATGCTTTCACTAAGAACATGTGCACGTATGGGTCTGTTGGTACTCCAGGTGTCAGTCAAGATAGCCGACCTCCGAAGCTTTGGATTGCTCCATATTGCTCTGTATCTCCCCTAGTCAACTTCAATGGCATCCTCAATCATTCATCGGCAACTTCAGCCAATCCTCCTCTCCCACAGCCCACCATCACTGTACCTCTACACTGCTACACGTGCATGATTTAAAGGATGGTCATACCCCCGGTCTCCACTGATCAAGAAACACACCGGATGAAACCTGTGATCTTCCCCCTCATTGTCCATAGCTCTCTGGCCACAGCAATTTGGAGCCACCAACACTTTGGATAACAGAGCTTCACATCTGTTTGGCCCCCCCCGGGTCAATCTATGGCCCTGGCCACGCAAAGTGCATATCACCCGCCTTCCGCGGGACCAATGCCCGAGCTGTGTTTGTTTCCCTCAAAGCATTTGCTCCTTGTGGCGGTACACCTACTGGTGAATTTGAAGGTCAACCGAGTTTGAGACACCTTTTTGCATAGGGTTTTTCACCAACATGGACCAATCGAACCAATCACCCAGAAAACCACATCAACCAACCGGCCCCAAACGACCGACCCCCCGCGACGCCGTGACCCGTCGCCTTCCTCCGTCCCGAAGCCACGCTGTGGGCACAGCGGGCGGAGGGCGCCCGCAAGGGCTCTCCACGTTGCAGGGCCGCACTGAAGCGGGGCCAGGGCATCCTAAGGGGGAAAAAACCAAGAGGACCGCGATTCGCGGATGCAGGTGAGCGTGCCGTTGTCCCAGGTTCAGATGGGCTGAAGATGGGATGAAGTGGCCCAGGTTCAGAGGTGAAAGCTGCTTTCATGGACCTCAGGAATGAAGTTCCCATGTCAAATTGGCATGCCTAGTCATGAGTTCGTGTTTCTAATACCATGCAATACCTATCCTCTAATAGTTTTCAAAACACGCCGTTTTGAGCTTGATGGGCAGCCTGAACCTTCCCAACCTGATGGAACACCACAGTCTTGGGCATGCGGTGACAGAGGCCATGAGACGGGATGAGATGAAACACCCACATCAGCAGGGCACCAAACTCCTTGGAAACACGGGACAAGGCTTTGGCATTTGTTCCACTCTGGAGCTCACCTCTGTGATCCAATCTTTTCATGAGGGGCGGCAACAGTAAGAACAGCATCGAAAAGCGTCATGGACCTCTCAGCCTAGGGCCCCTATGGGCCTTAGTGGGAAAAGGCTGGAAAAGGCTGGTTCACTCCCTGGTCCAAAACTCCATGTCGTACCTTTTAGTCTAAAAGCGTTCCTTCAGACCTCAGGGTTGAATCACACCCTGGCAAATCCTAATCCTCCGTTCATATCCATTTTCCAAAAAAGAACCGATGGACTCAGAGACCCCTCCGTCTCCGTTTCGACCGACGAAAGGCTCTCGAGCCGCAGCGACCGACGATCCACTGTTCGGAGGCTCCACTCAGGAGGCTCTGCGGGCTCCGGAAGCGCCGGCGGCGTGGTCGGCGCGGGCAAGGGCGGTGCCGCGGGCGCGGTCGGCGCCTGGCGTTACGGTCAAAAGCTACCTTACTGTAAGGGTTTCTAGAGAAGAGGGTCGGGAAGGGCCGTAACAGGTCTCAATTGGTGGCCTGGCAGGCTGGGAACTGCTATATCACTTGACTTGTCTCGAACTTGATATCTTCCACACGAATCCAAATGAGAATCCCGAAATAACTTGCTTTGGAATGCTACATTGTGCTATCTCCGGTCCTATCACATGTTTTTCAGATCCAAAGCAAGTCCGGCAGGTGAATCTTTGTCTTTTGTGCTCAACCAACCACTGACTGTTGGGAGGGAAGTTCTGGAACATGCAGGTTTGAGCCAACCTGGAGATTGCGGTTGCAGTGGTTTGATCCAGTGAAGCCCAGCTGCTCAGCCGATCATGTGATGGATAGACGAGGATCACAATTGAGGTATTTCGAGCCCGGCCCACCACATATAATAACATAATACAGTCTAGCCTAGTATATTTTAATGTATAATTGATACAATGATATTATATTACATTCTATATCAATCTACACTTATCTCAGAAACATGGGACAAAATCGTTGATTTACACCGAAAAACACAACAGCCTGGAACCTGGACGTTTCATCCACACACGTGTCAGGTTGAGGATTGGTTTGAGGAACGGTTGAAACCGCTCTTTCATCATGAAATAATGCACGGTGTACATCGATATACGTTCGCAAGGTGTTCATCACCTGGAAACCTGTAATTACATGCTTTGGGCTCTTGCCGTAGTGCACATTGAGGAAGGGAAAATGCATGAACATGCTAATCCTAGTAGCAAGGACGCTATTAGGTGGAGGCCATCGCAAACTACGTTGGAGGCCATCGCTACTAGGAGCGAGGACTGTACTAGTTAAGATCCGCCTTCTCAGATTTCTTAGGTCCAGGTAATCGGGCCGACGCCTGGCTAGGCCACTCTGGCCAAGCTACAGCTGAGCTCTGCGTCGGCCGTGCTGGCTGTGCCTGGGCAGACTCTGAAGACGGAGGGAGGTTTTCAGTGTGGGATCCATGTCAGTTGTCAGCTGTCAGGGAAGGTCAGAACAAATCAAAGTCGATGTTCATCCCGACTGAGTTCATCTGCCTTCGAACCCAGCCCCCGGAAAGAAACAAAGAGAAATCTTGCAAACTTTGGAATACCATGATTTCCATTAATTTCCCACCGTTCTTGTACGCCCCACTTGGTGGAGTCCTTCGGCAAAGAGTTTGCTCTTCAGCATTTTTTGGAGCAAGCCAGCCGGACCGGTCGTCAACAAATGTTGCATGGCATTGCATGGTATGTGACCTTGTAATTGTTTAAAGATCGGAAACGTGAATGGTTGATGTTGGGGTGTCCATCCTCTGGTAGCTCATCTATAAAATCTATAAACCATCTGATTGTATGTTTTTGGAAATCTTGGGGTAATGAGCTCCTTGTGCAAGTCTTGTTGGATCAATCAAATGTTGAGGAATTGTTTTCGTGTTTCTGGTTCAGTACGGGTCCAACCCGACGGATCCAACATGTCGCGCGAGAAAACCCGTGTTCGATCTACAAAAGGTCCGCATCTGCAGGTCCCGTGTGCGGATTCGAAAGCACTCCCTCCTGTTGTGTGGGCGCATCCCTCCAAAGCTCCCAGGGCTGGCCCCCAAACACCGAGCCACTGGCGCTCGTGCGTCCCGATTCTCTGGGGAGCTCTGTTGGATGCTGGCCAAGATGGCCATCCTCACTGCCGGTGAGCTTGCCAAACTCGTCAAGGACAGAATGGAGATGTTCTATATGTTGATATCTTTATTTGTCTATCTGTCTATCTATCTAATCTTATCTAATCTAATCTACTCTAACCTTATCTATCTAATCGATCTCAGCAAACCAAATCAAATCAACATATCTAACCTAATTTAATCTGCCGTATCTAATCTAATCTATTCCAATCTAATCGACTTGACTTATCTATCCACCTATCTATCTATATGTATGTCTATCGATCTAACCTTAAACTATCCTGTTCTATCTCATCTATCTAATCTGTCTAATCTATCCAATCTAATCTAATCTAACTATTTTTCTATTTATCTTTCTACTGGCTAACTACCAGACCTGACTAGCCCTCGATGCAGGACCAGTGGTTCCTCAGAAAGCTGTGTCCACTTGTTTCAAACATGTAAGCTCACGAGTTCTGCGTTGCAGGACCTGGTTCCTCAGAAAGCTGTGCCCACTTGTTCAAGAAACTAAAAGCTCACAAGTCCTGCAAACCTTTGCTGAGATACAGGAAACTGTCGCTGCGCGTACTCAAGCTTTGTCGAGGAAGCTGGGGCCTTGTGGCCATAAACATTGGTCACATTATTGATTGGAATTTAGAGGTGAGGCAGGCAGCCACAAATCTTGGTGGACACCTGTAGATCCTGAGGGTGACTCACGATGGAATGTCCAACGGGGCGTTTGTAGATCGAGGGTTGGAATTTCGATTGCTCAGAAACGGATACCACACACTGCGCCGCCTTCAACGTCATTACCTTGACACTGTCGCCCGGCTCATCAAGGTCCCATGTCGGTCAGAGCGGGCTTGGGAGCGCCGGCCCTCGGCTCATTGAGCCTTCCTGCCACTTGTGGACGACAGTGCCTTTTGCATTCTTGCGATTAGTACTCTCCAAGTCCTCCAGGCGCAAGCTGACGTTCCCATCACGGCTCAGCCGGCTCTGTTTTGGGCGCTGCCTTTGGCCGCGCTTTCGGCTCTGCTTTCGGCGCTGCCTGTCGGCTCTGCCGCAGGCTCGCTGGCCTTTGTTGGCGCCGGCGTCGCCTGTGAGTCTGCCTTCGAACTCTTCGAGAGGAGAACATCAAGAGCGCTCTGTGGGCAAAGGCTTCATTGCAAATGTGCACAAACAATGCATTCAAAAAGCAATCTCAGACACATTTTCTGCATCCAAGATAGCTATACCTGAAGCAAGTGGTTTTACCATACAAATGTGTGTGCAAGTCGATACCCCAACGATTCTGCTCCAACCCTTGAATTACTGGTTACTGGCTTAGAGGTGCAGGGCGAGCCAAATGTTTAGCAGTTTGAATGGCTGGGCCTTGAACTTCATGGGAGAGCTTTCCAATGGTGGGGCATACAAATCCCCATGGGTTTGCTGTGAGCTCCAAACCTCCCGCAACTCCACAACCATGGGGGCTGCTTATCTGCAGCCTCAAGAGCACACAGCCCGGGCCAGTGCTAGGGTCCACAATCCCACGTGCGTCTGGAAACTTTTTTCCAACGGACCCTGTTCCCATCAAGGCCACATAAAACCTCGCCAATCTCGTCCTCACCGTCATCAGAGCGGAACCTCAGAGCCATGAGCAGCAAAAGAACGGCTCACGTGCGCCTCCTTGCTGTGAGCTGCGCTTCAGTTGGTCCTTTGCCTGATCTCCTCAAGGGCCTTCTCAGAAAGATTACAGATCAGACCTCAAAGATACTGTGCAAAACGCAAAGCGGGTGAAGCACAAGTGGGCCCCGCCCAACAAGAAAGAGAGAGAGAGAGAGAGCGCCCAGCAAACCTTAGATGATAGTCGTTATAGCTCCTTGGGCGAACGAAAGCCACACCACTATCACCTGAGCCAAGCGTAGCGTTGATGGAGTCTGACCCCCCACCATGAACCTTCGCGTGTTCTCATGAAGGCCTTCTCAAAAAAGCTGGCGCTATATGTCTCCCCACTGTCAGATCGTGCCCGATCATGACTACGATGGAAATGCACTTCAAAGGCATGAATGAAATAAGCCGGCCCTTCGGAGTCTTCTTCGGGGGTAGCCTAGTAGCAAGCAAGGCCAGGGTGGCTTTGAGACACAGTCCACGCATCATGGCCAGCAAGTCCATCAGCAAGGTCAAGCAAGTCCATTAGCAAGGCAAGTTGAGGCACAGTCCATGCAGCAGGGTCAGCAAGCCCAGTCCATGCAGCAGAGTCAGCAAGCCCAGCCCATTCAGGGTCCATCAGGGTCAGCAAGTCATAGGCGGTCAGCAAGTCTGCTTAGGTCCACTTCCCTAGCCGGCTTAAGGATTTGGCCTCTTGTGGCCTAATGTTCCAAAGCCAGACATGGTGAGAAGTGTCAGGGAGTCTTTCACGACGAAGGCAGCGGCCCACCTGCCGGGACCCTAGCTTTGGTTGCAACATATCACTGGTGACCAGTTCGAACAACGCTCAGCGTCGCTGACCAAGTTGGTCTAGATGTCTGGGAGGTTCCCCTAAAACAACTTGTAGCTGCAAACGAGCCTAAAGTGTCTCACAATGTTTGGTGGCTTGCCTCGTCTTCGAAAGTGGCTTTCTTGACAGGTGTAAGCCGTATTTTGCGTGCAAAAGGTCAGTCAGCCCTGGCTTCGTGAAGCTTGCAAGCAATGTCTTTTCGCGTGGAAGTGTCCACCTCGTTCAGTTGCCCAGTCTTGAGCTGAGTCCAAGCAAAAACACATGTGGACAAAGGACTCCCAAAGTGAGTTTGAAAAACACATAGAACGTTCACTTTAAGGAAACCAAATCTATCTATCTATCATCTTACATGATATAATCTATATTCTCCAATCCATGATCTAATCTATATACCAACAAATTCATCTATCGGTATATTATATGTATTTATATATCTGAACCCTCTAAGATAAAATCTGATCAGGACCATACAACCAGTAAACACTATAAGATGTCAAACAAGCCATTAATATGTCACTAGCTTGCCGCTTCCAGCATCGGTGCAGAAGAAAGTTTCCTGGGACTCTAGGAGACTCGCTACTAGTAACAAGTGCATCGGGACTAGTAACAAGGGCACTACTACTGGTAACAAGAAGCTATTAGTAACAACATTTCTCAACTATATACTCTAGCTCTCTTGCTCACTTCGATCGTCGTTCGTTAAGTTTTTTGGAAATAGCACAAACATCCACGGCCTGATTTTCCACAAACAAGGCCTTTAGTAGTCGAGTAGTCGACCATGTTTAGAAATGAACACAACACTTCAAGCATCTTCAAGCCATGCAAACCTTCAGCAAACTGATCAGCTCTTCAAGATGATACATAAAATTGGTACTGAAGTGTTTTTGGCAAGTGCAAGCAGCAGCTCTCTACGCAGCTGGCTTCATGAACAGGACAAACTGCAGTTCGCTTGGTTTGCCTGGACAATTTTCTCTTTGGTGTTTGTGATCAGGTTTTGCCTCAACACAGGGTGTGTCCCAAAACGAACACATACCTGATACAACGAACACTCATTGGTTGGTCAATGGATCGTTTTCACAAAAAACACACACCCCGCTATCAACAACCTTTGTGAGTTCTCATTCCAAGTTTCTGTTCCGCCACTTCCTCAGATTGGGCTCTGCTCCTGGGAGTCGGTACAGTGCCCGTAGAAGAAACGGTCGCTGTGCGTTGCGCTCGCGGCGGTGGCCCATCCGCAAGGACCACATCGATGAAAATGGATCCTGGGAGGCGACTGTTCACCGGGCGTTCCTCTTGAAGAAACGGCTTGCCTATATATTATATCTCCCACAAATAAGGATTTCCTGGTGTGGCCCGGCTCTACTGAGACATCGTCAATCAAGCAACCTCCGTCTGCCCCGCAACTGAAGCATCAGCACCATCTATTTCTTCAGCGATTTCATTAGGGAGGACCACTGTTGGAATCACCCCACCATATGCCTGGTAGTACTGTACACTTGCTATCCACATCGGAAGGACGAGGAAGGACGCAACCAAGGTTAAGGAAGACAAATTGTGGCCCATGATGCTCATCCATTCGCTCTTGGCGATGTATGTTCCAATTGGACACTCTCTCTGAAACCGTTCACCTCCATCTTACAGGTCGTTCCCATCCTTTCACCCCATGCACCCCCCAAAAAGACCACAACCAAAAGAAATCCGGTCAAACCCGGTCCTCCGTCTGAGGGATACCCGGACCCGGGGCCAAGGCACCTGCATACTTCTCTTTGTGCTCCAAGGAGACCCAACCGCCTGGCCCATCGGCCCGGTCGGCGGTCGCTTCGCTTCGGGACGGATGGGACGGTGGACGGGGCGATGGACGGTGTCTGGGAGTGCGGAGGGATGAAGAAAGCGATGTCCTAGGATGATTTTCGGTGTATGAACTGAGAGTTTTTACTTTTCAGTGAGGACTGATAACTCATCATGACTCATCAGAACTCATCTATCTGGATTTCACACGAAATCTATAGACCTGGGGCGAAGACTACAACTTTCGCTTCTCCAACGCTCCCTTCGAGGCCACAAGGCCTTGTAAGTCTCCCCTGAGAGGCTCCACTTGCAGGTGTTCTCTGGGTCTGGGACCCTCCAGAACTTGGGGTCATCATCTTCCAACCAGAAGTGGATCTGGTCGGATCTGGTCATTGGCGGCACTAGCTGAACCTAGACCTGGCAGTCTGGGAAATCTTGGGAATTAGTATAAGCTGAATGAGCTCTTTCTTAGTTGTGGTCGACCGTATATATCAAATCCTTGAGTGGCCAGCCTTTCAAAACAGACCCTCTTACCCCGCTGTTCCGGATGTTCCCGGCCTGGCTTTCCCAGGATTGCCATCCCGAATTCCCCCCGCCCACTTTGGCCAAGCCGCTAAAGCCCTTGGCGAGACGGGTGAACGGCAAATGAGCTTCGGCGGCCCTCTTATCGTCCCTCAACATCCTGGACCGGATCGTCGAATCAGACCGGAACAGAAGCGTCTTTGTCACAGATCTTTTCTGCTTTGCTAGGTGATAGGTGGGTGATGCTGCTCTTCTTCACCACTACTCAACTCAAAAGACCTCATCTGGATGTCGTGAACACAGCAGCCACCAGTCCTTTGATGATAGAGTGCCACATGTAGAAAGCTGCCTCGTCGCATCCGCTTTCAACCCCCGTCCCCGGTGCAGGATCCAACGGTTCGGGTCGGGTCCCAGCAGTCGGGTCCCGGTTTTCTGGGAGCCCTGGAGGCACCTGGAGGGGTCACATCGTCGGGAAGACGTGAAGGTGTTCAGTTTCCAAGTTTGGTGCAGTACACCAAAGAGCATGGAACATCGGTCCATGTTCACTCCTGAAATCATCATCGTTACGTGGATGGCATGAGCCCGAAAGGATGTCCATGAAATCCGAAGACCAAACAGGTGGTGAACTCCAGTTCCATGGAATACCCGTTCGAAGGTACGCTAAAGGTTTGACGCAGGATTTTATTTTATAAAATCCTTTCGGGCTGAGGTCATTCCTTTATTTTTTTGTGTGCCAAGGTTGGCAGCCAAAAAAAACTTGAGGGTTTTGAGCATTTATGGAATCCTGCGTCAACCTGTTTTATGGAATCCTAGTACAGAGGTTGAAGAAGCTCATGTGTAACAAACATCCTGGCATATTAAAGTCCTGGTTCAGGGGTGTCCCTGCCCTCCTTGTCCTCACAACGGAACCAAAGCCACTCTCATTCTTTGTGTTATTTTTCAAAAGAACGCTTCTAGGTGGAGGCCATCGCTAGTAGGTTGGAGGCCCTAAATCCACTCCCATTCTTTAACCTTCTCCGGGCACAGGTCAAGGCTTCAACCGGCTCAAGCGCCGAGGCCTGCTTTTTTAGACGTCTCTTTCGGGAGGGTTGATCCAGGAAAAAAGTAGAAAATACCTGCCTGGTATCACACTATGTTCTTGGATGTTTCTCCTGCACAGGTTGACCGCAGGATTTCATAAACATCCACAATCTCAGTAGGTTGCCAGCCCCACCTGGAGCACCCACGGGCATACAGGAGATCAGGAGTCAAAGACTTTTTTCTCGAACGTGGTTCCTGAAGATCTGCGATTCTGTTTTGGGACGCTGGTCATTGTATTTCTTTCCATATCCTCAGGCGAAGATGGAGCCATCGACCGGTGTTTCGCAGGTGGGAGAAGTTCTGTCCTTGTATATTTGTCCTTCACGAGTTTGGCTACGATGAGGGAAGTTTACTTGGTTGAGGAAGATTCAACTATATAGAGTTTTGGTCCTTCATGGAAAGAACTCGATATAGGTCATTCTGGTGCTTTGGGACGTTAGAAGTCTCGGGTTGGTTTGGAAATAGAAGTCAAGGATCTATTTTTTACACCTGGCGTAGGATGCGAAGTTGGAAGAGAAGACAGAGCTGCAAGCTGCGGTTGGGCAGGACCCTCTTTCCGTCGCCTGCGTGTTCTAACCTCCTAATTTTTTAGTTCCAGCATTTTCCAAAACAAGCGCCGTCATTTATGGAATTCTGGCTGAAGCCTGTAAAAGATTCGGTACGAACAGAGGCCCCCATCTTCTCCACCATTGTCTTGCAATCTTGCAGGACCTGAGGAAGGACAAGGATTGGCGCTAGGTTGGCGCTAGGTTTCATAACAGGATAGCAAGCAGGAAAAAGAAGAAACACGCAGAGAGCAGGAAACAGAAGAAGCAAGACAAGAAAAAAGAAAAGCCAAGAAGAATAATAATGCACAACAAGAAGAATACAAGCAAGCAGGAAAAATAAGAATCTGACAGGATAAAGAAATTGACGGAGATTTTTGCGCTAGGCTGGCGCTAGATCCGCGCTAGCGCCGAGGACTGGCAGAGTCTACTGTTGGAATCGGTCGATGATCTCTCTGAGTGTGTGCTTTTAGAAATCTTGTGCAAACAACCATGTTGATCGGTTGATCGACTTCGGAGGTTCGCCTTGCGTCGGCACAGGATTCCAAAAAAAGCATCCTTGCTAGACTCTAGACCAACCAACATATTAAATTCCTGGGTCAGACCTTACTCTATTGTTACAGGAGAGGCAATGAAACTGTTATGAAATCCTGTGCTGAACCATTCCATCCTTCTAGGAATTCCCAATGATTTGTTTTGTCAATATCTCTTATTTTTTTCCTGCGTCAACATTGGAATTGCATGTCCTATAATTTTTTGGTGTTTTTTTTGGAATCCTGTGACTGAGGTTCGGTGCGAGAAAAAATCATAATAATAAAATGTCCCTGACGTCTGGGAAAAAAGTATGGACTTCCAGACGGGTATCATGGATTATTTCAGGGAGCGTATGTCCATTTCACCAGGATGGTTACCCAGGCCTTCAGTCAAGAGGTTGGCACCCCCTGGTCTGCCCAAGACTTGCCGCGCAAAACATCGAGTTCCGGATGGGCAAGACATCCGTGTTTGCAAGAAAACACCCTGGCACAGGTCTTGTGTTGTTTTTCATGTGTCTTCTGATGTTTGGGGAGCGGACGGACAGACCGAAGCACTGCCAACGCTAAGACCGTCTCAGACCGTCTCACACGTGGCTATGTGTCGCATTGGGAAGGCCTTCCGGGCCTGGTTTGATTGCATGGATTTCTCCGAGCTATTCACACTCCATGGGACTGGTATATTTGTATATGCCTACATTGACCCCTGAAACAACCACCCCATTTAATTAATGTTAAATATGTCATTCCATGTCAGTCCCATTAGTCGTGTCTGTCCCAGCTTTCTGAAAGATCCATCATCTCTCATCCATCTCTCTCATCGGAAGGCCTTCCAGGCTGGCGGAGGACCCTTTGAGCTGGATCGTTCTCCTCGGGACCGACGTCCAAGTCTTCTTGGCTCGGACAGAGGCCGGGGGACCGGGGAGGGTTTTGGGGCTCTAGGAACGATTCTAAAAGAAAACTGAGACGGAATCTTCCAAACGGCATGTTGATGTATTCAGTTGCTAAAGGTAGTTGCAATGAAGAACCTGTCTGGTGGGGCCATATCAGGATTCCAACATCTTGCTTCCATTTGTGAAGAAAACATCATCGCAGTTCATCGCCCGTCGATTTTGGCATCCAACACGAGTCCGTGCACCTTCGAGCTGGATCCACCTTCGACGAGAGAAACAAAAACGTGGCGAAGCTTCCCAGGGGCAAACTTGGTCATGACATGTCATGACCTTGGATTTGATGTCCAGGAACCGGGGAAACCACTTATTCCATGGGGGATTTACCCAAAGGGAAGTGGCTCCCATGGAGGAAGCGGCAAAGCCGGCAAGGGCTGGAGATGGGACAATATGTATTACTACCAGGAGATATGATCAGTTCCTAACCTTGAAGCAAATTGCAACCTAACCAAAAGAGACTCGGTGCGCTGCAGCTCAGGCACTTGATGTTCTTGAAGTTCTTGGGCTCGACGATCCGCCCTGTGGTGTCATACAAATCATCCACCCATGGTGTCCGCTCAGGACCTTGCAAAGCGAAGAAAGGTGCGAGTACCGGTCCTTCCCCATGCAGGTGACGATGATAAATATGACCATTGGGTCTGACGCTGACTGCGAACTGACTGCGACCTGAGTGCTGACTATGGCGACTTTGACTCCCCGGCGTGTGTTTCCACCTGCTGCGATTTGCTCGTTAGACCCACCAAACATCGTGAAGTTTTACGACCTGTGGATAGCAAGTTTCCTTTGAAGTCCTGCAGATAAGTCACGAGGTGAACTCATGGAAAATCATAGAAAGCTCTGTTCATCTGCAAAGCTGTATAGTGGATTGAGAGTAGATGGCACAATCCCCGAAAGAGGGTTTATGTGGACCCCCATCTGAAAGACATCTTGTGGGGTTGTGTCATCTACTGTAGTCTGAAACCGCTGTAGCTCTTTAAAGCTTCTATTCTATTGTTCTTCATGTTTTATTTTCAGGTGGTAGAAGACCCCTTGATTCATTGATCGGGTGCTCAATCTCTTAAGATCCGACTATAGCTTGGTTGGTAATTGAAAGTCGGACACAAAGGCACCAAAGCGGTGAGAGCAAAGTCCTGTCCGAGGTAAAGCATGATATTTGCTGGTGAAGCTGCACGAATCCCATTCAGTTATCTTTCAGCTCGTTCATGCCCTGACACTTCCGAACCCCCGATTGGTCGTTGGCAAGTTGAACAATCTCACTGAACAGGCTGAGTTCGGTCGTTGACCTCTATGGACAGTCTGGCTGATCAGCCAAATGTTCTTGAATTTTTCAGTATACTACCGACCGGTGACTTAGGACTTGTGTGGGCCAGTGACACAGTAGTTGTGGCCCACTACTCCTAAGTCATTGGGAACACAAAAATTGCAGAGTTGAGAGTATATACGTTTCATGTTTCAGCTGTGATGTTTTCCACTTTTACCGTCTACCTTTTTTCATGACCCAAAACCGCAGGTAGGGGTACCCCACCCCAAGATGAGAATGTCGTGTGACTGCAGGAAAATGGTAGGGAGACCCCACAGGCGGTGCAGAAATCATGATTCCCATGACTTCCAGGTGCAGGATTCCTGTGAGCTCTGGCTTCAGCCCCTTTCAGCATCTCTAGAAACTCTAGAAACAAGGCCCACCCAAAATCAGCTGCTGTCTCTAGAACCCGATGTCTCTCACGTTTGCGGCTTTTCTGAAGCGAAATAGAAAACCTCCTGAAGCGAATCGCACAGGTCCGTGGCCATCCAGAAGGAACTCCACGCAATGTCGCCCATCATGCTTCAGTCTCACAGCTTTTTGGACCTGGGCGGGTGATCTCCCGTTTTGGCGAGCTGTTTGGGTGATCTCCGCACCAAAACAAGTCACTTATACTGTAAGTCACTCCCAAACGGTCCCATCCTGCTGCGGGTTTCACAGTTCGAGGCATTCGGCTCGGTGCTTTTCGGTGTTCCCCTTTCAACAAAAACACTGCCTGAAATCGAGGTGGACTTCACCAGCTACAAGCTGCACCATTCCCAGCTACGCGTTCGTCTCCTCGTTTGCGAAACCATACCCCACGGTCGACGGAAGAGGAGCGCGAGAGAGGTACGGCTTTTTGGGGCCCAGTGGATGATGGTGGTTAGCAACGATTAGTATGATTGGGGGGTCATAGATGGTTCTAGTAATATAAAGTAATTAAATGCACTGCCCCAGAATAGTGATACCCTTTTTGCCCACTGTCACTCGTAATGGAACACACCCTATGTATAGATAAACCTTATGATGACGTCGCCGTGGACCTGGAAGTGAAGAAGTTGCATCACCCTTAGGAAGGTGATCCCCACGTGATCACCACCAGGTGAAACGGGTATGTCCAACGTCCAACATCTCCAAAACTGGAAGGCCATGAGCGTTTGGACTTCCAAACTTCCAAACTCGCCTTGATCAAGTTGGGTCCCAAGATAGTGACCTTTGTTATTGAGGCGGAAGCACGACTTGATTATTTAGTCAGCAGTAGTAGTGGCGGTGGAACCTCACCTCACATCTTTTCTGTTTTACAGTTTTATGTGTTGTACTGAGACCTCAAACCGCCACCAGAGCCCGGCCGAATCGACGAAAGCAGGATGACAGTGGATGCCAATGACAGTGGTCCAAGTGTCTACATGGTCTGAATTTGTCAAACCCGTGGGATGATCAGATGTGCCCACATAAACCCCAGATACTCCAAGTCGTTTGACTCCAGTGGATCTCAGACTCAGAGGCCTCTTGAGTCGTTCCGCTGGACTCGGACGGAGGGCGACCGTTCACGAGGCGCCTCCCCCCAAAAGAAACCGGTGGCGGTGGACGTCCCAACCCCATGTTGGAAGGATGAAAACACATCAAGGAAGCTTCAGGAGATGAAACCTTTCACTGCAGCAGTGGTGCGACAATCTCCAACTGCATCGTGCCCCAGCGCAGCAAATCATGCGGCGAATGTGGGATGGGTCGGCTTTTGTTTTGTCTATGTACTGGGGTGAGTGGAGGACTTCGGCAAAATGGCACTTGGAAGAAGGAAACAGTTGTGATCAAGTCCTCTTGGAGAACTCCCACATGTCCTGATTTTGTGTATTAAAGTTCCTGACGCGCCAAGGACACCTTGAAGGAAATTCCAAACCGGCTAGGGTGGAAGCTCATTTAAAAAGAGGAAGGGGTATTATATGGTATTATTAACCTTACAAATCTGGTTTGATGCTGCAATGTACTGCGTCTATCAAGTGAAAGACTCTATAACGCTGTAATTGAAGCATGATCTGGGAACGGGTCTTCTCCTGAAAAGGAACAATTCAGGCTTCATCAAACTTCCAAAAGCTCTGTCCTATTCTCTCCTTCAGCTCTGCTGTCAATAAAAGATACGACATAACGCGAAGCGAACAGCAAAAGCCACCAGGAGCATTGCATCACAGCATGCATCACCCCGATAAGGATGGGTCGATAGATGGGACCGTTCACGTGTCCAACCAACCAAGAGGACAAACAGCCACCGGTGGCATCACTGCCAAAGAGTTGCAACTTCCGGTGCCTCAACATTGTGAGAGTCCAATCAACATGCTGCTGAGAAAAAGAATCAACAAACAACAGTACATTCCTCCTTGTTCCCGGCGAACATCCTCGAATGCAAGAATCACAAAAGTATCACCATCGTTCAGTCCATGTGGGGCTTCAACACCCAGCAACATTTGTCCACTGAGACTTGGTCAAACATGGAAACCACCGGATACTGGGAAGAGAATACACTCTGCCAAACTCTCTCTCTCTCTCTCCCTCCTTCCTTGACCAAGGAAGCACCTAGCAGGGTTACACATGTAACAACGAACACCCTGAGACATGGCACATGTAGCACTCTTCTACGGTTGTGACTCTTACCAGTAACCTAGTGTGTAGGCTCACATGTAGGCTACTCCGCTCCAAAGGCACTAGCACCGCAATGGAGGGCTCAGATCTCCCCGTTTTGGTCCCGCCGCCGGGCATGGCGCTCGCTTCGACTGAGAAAGCCGCGCGTCAGGCTGTACGGTCTGCAACCCCCAGTGAAGCACCTCAAATTTGCCGAGTGAGTGATCCTGAACCGTGAACAAAAAACGCATCACTCATGCTTTCCGAATCATCTAGCCCTGCAGTCTACATCCACTGGCGCGTATTGACTGCCTCCAACTTCAGTCGAAGCTCCGCTAATCTATGTACAATACTGCGGCAGCTCTGCATCCAATCTGCGCACCCGCACTCACGCGGCCTGCGCCGTATTTTTGTCCTGGCCAAAGCGAAGGACTTCTGAAAGAATGTGTATAGGGTCAAAGCATGTCAAAGCCCTTTGTGGTCAACACTGGCAAACCCATGCACCAACGATGCAAAGCGTCACGTCGCATGAATCGTTGACACGGACGCGCTCTTCGAACCCTCTGCGTTGGGTATGTTGGTTCTGACATTATGACACCCACACACACTTCGTGGTACAGTAACACCTGGCGTTCTTTATTTAGACCAAACGAACTGGCCCAAGGACATTGAACCAACAACTTCGGGAGTCCAAGGAACTCTAGCTTCGGGAGTCGAAGTCTTCTCGACCCGACCGGGTCGGATCGGATAGAGGAGGACCCGCTGGATTCGACCGGAAGCTTGCACTGATTGACAAGTCTGCGATTCCCCACGGCCATGTGTCAAAACCAGGAGACACTGGGCCGGACACTGGGCGCCAGGTGTTGCTCAGCCGGACGTTGCCCGACTCATGTGCTTCGAATCGGCGCCATGAGTGACCCCTACACCCCCAAACGATATCACATACATAGTTACATAGTGACAAACACATACTTCCAAACGAACCGGACCGCTTATATACTTAGAACCCAAGTTGGCCAAGTGATACTTAGAACCAATGAAAAACAACAGCAGAATTCGAACTTAGAACCCGTGAAAGCCATTGGTTCGTAAGTATGTGTCTGTCGCTTCAATATCAACATGGGTTTGAGAAGAATGACGTGCGATACAGCTGGGGAAGAAGACTCGGGCTCGATCTCCTTTTCCATTGCACTCCTGAATAATAAGTTACAGTTACTGTCACGGAGTCCCCATGAGGAACTTGTAGTTTCATCCTTGCTTTGGTTCCAAGTGTTCCTGGGGATATTGAATCGAAGTCGAGTGTGTTGGTTCTATGCGTATGCACTTAGAACCGGTTCCGCTGTTGAAACACATGTTGTTCATTTTTCCACATTTGGTTCTATGATGTTCTAAGTATCTATCTGTCACTGTACCCTCCGCAAATTAACATGGACCCTGAAAACCACTGGGTGGTAGAATCACCTTAGGATCATCAGGGATCCATGTTGTCGGGATCCTCTGCAGAAAGGGCGTTGGATCGCTCGGGTCGGTGGTCGAATCACCGGTCAGCGCTCCAGTCCCCCGGGCTCCTTCTCCGGGCGTGGCGCGGTCGGCTCATCTGCAAAGGCGTCGATCCTGGGCCGAAGCCGAAGGGTGAGACGGCCGGTGAGACGGCGGGCCGTCCGGCCGGGCGTCAATCCTCAAAGCCCCGAACTCACCCTAGTAAGGTTGACCTCCGGTCGTCTGTTCATGTTTGGTCCACCAGTCGGTCCCCTGGTGCCAGTCTCCCCACAGCCATGTTGAAACTCTTGCCGTTGGTGACTTTTTTCTGTTGAAACTCTTCAACATATCAGTTAAGGATGAACTACACATACATCTATGACTCTATGACTGTATGATCACATATGACATATATGTTACGACACACACGGGGTCAGAAGCTGTGGTTTCTTAACGCGATCTTGAGCAGAAAAGGAATTCTACGAGCTGTGAAAACCACGGCGGGGGGTATAGTTGCTGGGTCTTCCCCTTTTCGCAACCAGCCGACTGTTCTCGATGTTCTCTTGTCGGCAACGGGTCACTGGGGTCGTTGGGATTTATACGGATCTATTCAAGTCCTTCTCCTGAATTGGCTGGATGACCCTACTTTAGGCTTCCTGACGAGTGAGTCATGCCAAGTTCTCCTCGAAAAGCTTTCTCGTTGGGCTCACGAAAGGCGCGGCGAACTGCGCGACGAACCAGCCGACCCGCGTGTGGCACGCGAACCAGTCCGAGACCCCGGTAACACCGATCTCTTCTTGGAGAATCAAACAAAACAAGTAAATTACTGACTGGTCCCTCCCAAAGAATATACAAACCTTCGGCACTTGGTCCTTGAGACTTTCGCTTGTTCCAAAAATGAGAAACGACTCGTTGAATAGAGCCATCATGAGCCATCCACCGGCACTCCCTCGATTCCTGAGGCTCCCTACAGCTCCTGCACCTCCTGCACGGCACGCTCGGGACTCTTCTTCCGCTTCATCAAATGCCTGGCGCGTCGCAGATCGGCGCATGGCAGGCACCCTCTTCGGTTCTTCCACGCGCATGAGTTCACGGGTATTTTTTTCGTCTACATGAGGCATGGCATGGCTTCCTGATGCTTCACCCACCACGGCTTATTGAGGTCCCGGAAGAAAGCTTCAGTAAGCCCCAGGTGGACCAGGTTGGCAGGGCTTTCACACAAGTCCCTATGTTGGTTCTGCAGTCTCTTTCTCGGTTCTGCACCACTTGCTAGCCAATGCACATACGGTATGTTAAAAAAAACAAATGTGCGGGTCAACAGGGTCATACTGGGAGGATCAAAAATGATCAAACCTTGTGAAGTTCAGGCTTTGAATACCCTTCTGCCGGGGCTTTGAGGATCCTTGACCAAAAACTGGGGAAGCACTTGTTGCAATTGTAGAATGGGTAGTTGCGTGGATAGATACAGTTCTGCTGTGCTTCCGAAGCTGTATGTAACACTTGGAAGGGGAGAATGGCGGGTCTTATTATTAGTTCGCCAAGTACGCACTATACAACACTCCTAGACTTACCCACGACGCTTGTTACAGTTGATGCCTTTCATTGGCTGTATCCCTGAGATGTTCAATATCATTACACATAATGCTCACACCGCAATAATTACTCCATCTAAATCTAGTAAATTCCTGGCGAAAACGTGTTCCTTGCAACAATAAACTCTCCCGCAACAACAAACCTTTGACCTTATACTTGGAAACATTCAAAAGGCAAACCTTATATCGCAACATATTTTATTTGGTAGCACCTCACAGCGACTTTCTCTTCCAACAATTCTTTGGTTGGTTTGATAAACTTCCGTGTCCACTGGTCTGATGACATCTGCTATGTTTCCTGTTCGTAGCTGACTCAAGTCGCCTCACCATTCCATACTCAAAATGGACAGTGTACAAAATTCCTGGAAGACGAATGATTGCTGTTCCCATCAAATGCTTCTATATAAAACTGTTGGCAGTGGGTCACTGCAACACTCACCTTGGCACGCAAGGCCTTCTAACACGACCGCTTCTGGTTTACCCGACTATCATGCCACACTCCAGTTCTAGCCCCAAAACTCGGTCAATTCCATGATCTTCAGCATCTAAAAACATCAGCTACCATCTCCACAACTGGCGGCCAATGTGTACAGTACCCATCGGTAACCATCGTTGCGCACGCCTCTGGATGTCTGCGGTGGTCAACTTCCGACCTGACTCCTCCGGTCTCGGTCCAAGCGGGACGTCTCTGCGGTGGTCCGACTCTTCGTGTCACGACTCTTCGGACTTCGCTCCGGCGAAAACATCAAAACCATCAGCTCCTGGGGATATTCTTAGGATTACATCACAGAGGCGGAGGTGAGTGGGGGCTATGTTCAAGTTCCAGCGAACTAGAAAAGACACTGAACACATTCTGATTCAGTCTGGTCTGGCCAGTTGTGTAATTGTCCTGTATCTAGCAATCCCATTCTCCACCATTGGATCAGCATTCCAGGCAATCAAACATGTGTGGTTCTCATGGCGGTCGGGCTTCTGTTTTGAGTGGGCTTCTTAGTCCAAGAGTGTCAGAGCAAGTGAAGCCCTATGACCGAATGCGGTGACTCACTGCCGTGGCCAATGGCACCCTGC